TTTTTTAAAACTTTGACGAATTTTTGAGTAACAAACTCAAGGATTTCAAAGCGAGCAATGGCAACGTTGTGCAGAAAAACATTTTTATCTCCAGCGCGTGAGTCTCTGTATCGGAAATTCTAAAGATATGCTCGTTTTAAAACTATTTTTCGATATTGCTGTTGCACTGGATCTTATGGTTTAAGTGCGAGGAACATGATATTTAATAAAGAAAGGTAACACACAAAATGTTAAAAAATGCCCCTTTGGACGTAATTTAAAATCTGAAACATTTCAGTTTTTTTTTTTTTTTTTTTTTTTTTTTTTTTTTTTTTTTTTGCTAGGATAAGTTGGAAATATTATATTTCTTTGTATATCTCTTGAATGAATGCCACTGAATGGCAGAAATATCTGAGATGATAATTTCTGAGCAAATCTTTTTGCAAGCATATTTTAAAATGTTCATTGTAGTTCATAGATGGCAGCATTGATCATAAGCTAAAATTAAGACATGCTTTCACTACAATGACGAATTTTTTTAAAGGTAAGTAGTAGGTACATAAATAGTATTAATAACGCTACAAACAATAAATTTTGGGGAAAAAAAGATTCCTAATTAAATACTCATAGACATGTAACAACAATTTTGTATAAAATATTTTTTACAAATTAATGAAAACAATGAATCTGTAATCAAATAATCATTCCAAGTTTTTAGATATGATAAGTTTTTAATTCCTTGCACGAAGTATTGTAATAGCGAAAAGTATTGAAAATCTGTATTTCAAAGAAAATACCCATTTTGACCGCTTTTAATTCCATTTGAACGATTATTTTGCGTTACATCTGAACGTAAGGACAGAAAGAACTCTTTTTCCCAAAATGGATTGTGAAATGGATTTAAAATGAATTCAGGAGAGATTATTTTTCGTGATATCTGTACGTTCGCGTTACGTGCTACGTATGTATCTAGCATAACTCAAAAATGAGTAACCTTAGAACGTTGAAATTTTGTATATGGAACTGCTATAACATGTAGATATGCACCTCCCCATTTCGGTTGCAATCGGCCTCACCTAAAGTATATAAATATATATGTATAGATATAAAAGTAGCAAGACAACATGATTTAGAGAGACATTAATGGTTTTTACAACAGTTCTTTTATAATTCTTAGTGCGCTAAAATTTATTAATTTTTTCTAACCCCTTTTTAATTTAAATATGTCTCGACTTGTAATTTTAACATTTAGTTTTTACTACTTTATTATTGTTTCTAGATGTTGCATGATTTTACTTTTTTGCTAAGGAACTATAGAGTCAAATGAATTTTTTAGCATAAGCCTTTAAATGTTCCTCTTACTTCTATGTATATACAAGTTTATGTATATACTTCTTGTATATATACAGGGTGTTTATAAAGTCCCGGACCCATTTTGATGTTTAATAACTCATAAAATAACGAAGATATAAACACACCTATGGCATTTATTGATGGAATAACTTATATATTTTCCTTTTCAGGTTTGGATCAACTGGTACTTTGCTGTCAAAGGTGATCGATTTGCACAACGTGTGGTTAATTTCAGATAATTTCATTTTTCAGTCTAAATATCTGTGCTTTTCTAAATATCGTCTGCTTATTAATTGAATTTTTCTCTCTTTTGTTTTTGGCATCTTTCTGGCATTGTTATTCTCCATAATGTGCGCATATGAGGATCTGAAAACCCCCATGAATACCGTGAGGCACAAAGGGATTCCCCAAAGGTTAATGTGTGGTGTAGACTAACGCACGACCGAGTCATTGGGCCTTTCTTTTTTTTACAGCAAAGACGGTCTCATCAGTCGTATACTTAGACATGTTGGAAAACTTCGTATTTCCACAACTAGAAGAGCTTCAGCCACATGTCTTTTTGCAACAAGATGGTGCACCACCTCATTGGGGTACTATCGTTCGTAGTTCTTTGAATCACCATTTTACAGGAAGATGGATTGGGCGAAGAGGTCCAATTCCTTGGCCACCCAGATCACCTGATATAACACCGCTGGACTTTTTCCTTTAAGGATTTCTAAAGGACAACGTTTGCAGGAGGAGAGTGTCGAACATCGATGACCTAAAAGCCAGAATTACAACCGCAATAGCCTCTGTGGATGCCGACATGCTTGCCGGTAACCGGCGTGAAATTGAATATCGACTTGATATTCTCCGTGCGACGAAGGCGGTACACGTGGAAGTTCATTAGCGGTCACGAAAATTCACGACTCATTAATCACGAATCACGACTCATTAAGGTCACGAAACTTTTTGAGTCTATCTAACCATTTATGTTATTAATTTTAATCTATCTTTATTATTTTATGAGTTATTAAACATCAAAATGGGTCCGGGACTTTATAAACACCCTGTATATCCACTGTGTTACGCGGCTCGATGTGCTAAGATTTTTTATTCTTATATGTTGTTAAATTGTGCATTTTTTTTGCTTACGGTGATCGAGTTATATTGTTCTTATGTTCCGGTTAATGTTTTTATGCCTTTAGTTAATTTGCATGCAATAGTTGCAGAATTATCAACAATTTAAAATTTGTTTAAATTCCACTAAGCCTAACAAAGCCGCCATTTGTTTACATCTGAAACTTAGCAGCATAGCGAATTAAGTCAGTTTCTGCACCATCTTCAGGGTGTTTTTGCCGAGTGGAGCCAAAAGTTTTGTGCGCCGAATAATCTGTCTTTGTACCTAATTTTAATTAATTTAGACTCTAATTTTAATTGCATAAAATAATTTTTAACGATTTTTAACTCTATTTGTGTTTTAGGTTTTTCTGGATTTTATAGTTTTTAATGAACATGTTTTGAGCTTTCTATATATTTTTTCCATGCCGCCAAGTGAGAACTGAATTGATTCAATTCTAATGAAATTCGGGGAAATGAGTCTAAATGCAACGCAGCAAAAATGTGCATAATTTACTTTTTACTTTTAAAAACGTGCCGTACAAGGAAGTCGTGATGTCCACATCAGATTTTTTTTATATAGTTTTTCTTTTTTTAATTGCTACGACTATTTCAGGCGTCTGGCCAGGCGTGCGGCAATTACTGTAAATGTTCAGCTGACTAGAAATTTCTTTAATGCTTGATCAGTAGCGAAAATTCAGAGCAGCAGCAATAATACTTAGAGCGCTGAAGACATGAGTAAGACTTAACTGCAAAATAAATAACCACACAAAAAGATTACCACTACTTTTATCTAGTCAGAGAATGCAAGGATATCGCAATATGCGCCATTCCCGTATTAATCAAAAATAGTACAGAAGGTAGAATCTATGTTCTCACACATACACATAAAATAAAAAAATTAAAATTAAAAAACATAAAAAAATCTATTTTTGAACTCAATGGTGGAATCAACAGAAGTTGTACTGTAGAAGAAAATTAAGTTATTATCATGAAATCGTGTTTTATACAGGAAGCAGGATGTCATTAGAAAAGCAATTCTAAGAGGGAAAAAGCATTCTATAAATAATTTGAAATTTTAAGAATAGTCCATGCATTATTTTAAATACAAATTGTTGTGCAAATTAAAAGGAATATCCCTCGACAAATAATGAAATTAGGGATTCCTAACCCACTTCTTGCATCGACGATTTTTAAAAGAAAGATGTTCTTTATCTATTCCCATGCATTTTTCTTTATAATGTGGTGTATATAACATAATTGTAATATATATAACTGGAGAGAAATATCCTGAAAGAAACATTTCGATTAAGAATATGAATAAAGGTTAGGAAAAAAACTTTTATTAGTTTTTTTTTTTTTTTTTTGTAAGCTTTTGAATTATTTTTAGTTTTGCAAAAATAAATAACTCTCCAGAAAGAAACCACAGATTCTAACTGCACAAAACTTCTGTAATGATGCAATTATTTTCAATATTTAATGCAGTTTATTTAATAAAACTGCTTAATTTAATTCTTAAATAACCTCGTTCAAAATTGTTCACCCACTTTCCTGTTTTCTGGTTTAAATTTAAGTTTTTCGTATTTCCCTGAATGTGTTTTCCTGTGTTCTTTAGTTTTACTTTCTTATTTTTAATTTATTTGTAAAAAATTTATGAACTTTTTTAAAAATATTATTTATTTAAAAAATATATTGTAATTTTAATGTATTTTTCCATTATATTTATTTTATATATTTTTCCTTTCTGTATAAATCAATAAACTTAAATATATTGCAATTAATATTTTAATTTTCTAAGAGTTATTTTAATTTCAAACATGCTTTACTGTCCATTCTTTTCCCACGTACTGTTCCCTATATCAGAATGAGTTTTTAATACTGCGCTGAATGTAAATGAGATAAAAAAAAGTATTTAAAGGAAGATTTCGCGTACTTTAGGAAAAGAGTTTAGGAATCCTTAGTGGAGCATGTTTGCTTTCAGGCTACTTCGTTGTTTAAGCTAACTACACTCGGCCGTACTGTACGTAGCTGTTGATATATCCGGTTAATTTAGTTAAGGGCCAACTACGTTAGTTAATTATACATAGGTTCAGCTAAGTTCAATTTAGCTTAGCATTAGATTAATCTCTTCTTTTCTTATCTTGAGTTGAAGTCCAAGTGGAGGCTTTTCTGTAAGCCCGAGAAAAGGGCCCTCTTTAGTTTGAGATAATCAAGGGTGAGTTTAATCCTTCTCTGGACTTTTCATTTACACACATGGACTCAGCGATAAATCGCTAGACAATTTAACAAAGTTTCTACTACGTTAAGCATAGACAAAGTAGTTAGAATCATTACAGTATAAACAATTTATTGTTAATTTATTAACCAACTTTTTGTAGTCAATGAGATCTTGACTTCGCCGACCAACTACTGGTGCATATTTGACTGTTTCCTTCCCCCTAATTGACTAGATCATCATTAATCTCCTTTAAAATTTCAGCTATCCACACGGGACCAATACCGATCCCGTTACATGACTTTGAATTCAACAATTCACAGAAAAGAAATACTTTTATATAACAAGAATCTACCTGAGTTACATAAAGATTGTATATCTTCCCTCCTTCCAGCGTCAAGCCTTCCTTCATAGGGTTTCCAATAGCAAAGGCATCATGTGCATACACATATGCCTGTACGAAGTCATCGTATGTTAAATAGTCTTCAGGATGTAAATCTACCCATACTGAATAACCTGCAAAATAAATAAGAATTTAAATTAAAATACACATTTTCACTACAGACATGCCGGGGACCACACAGAGAGGGGAAATGTATGAGTTGGAGTCTTCGAGTTGTTATGCGGTATGAGATGGTATGCGCTGACATTGCAGTAGCCAATAACTTGTTCAATAATGCCTCCACCTGACATTATAAAAACCATAATTTCACGGCCTTTCTCAGACGATTTTAGCTACCTACAATGTATCTGTTATCAAGGTCTCTGTTATGTGCTAATAACAAAGTAAAAATGTATTAACATACAAATAAAGTGAACATTGGAAACATTGTTTAAGAAAAGAACCCACTTTTGGAGTGTCCAGTGTAAATCTAACTATTAAATGAATAAGCTAAGTAAGTAAATTCAAACCTCAAACATTTATTAAGGGGACTCATATACCTTAAACCCATAAAATCTTCGAATATGTAATTGTTGCAAGAATTGGGATAACTTATTTATTTTAAAAGCAATTACTTCCAACTTTTCAAAGCTGACTATACAATATAGCTGCTTTCTGAAATAGTAATCAGAAAGTTTGTGTTGCCACAAATATTTTTTTAATTTAATCCGCTTTGTGACAAAATTTTTCGTTATGTTTCCAACTTGCGCGCACAGTTTAAAACATTTTGTTGACTAATTTAATTCCATATTTAATATATAGCTTTTATAATATTTTCAAACTACTGTGAACCATATTTTCATATTAAATTTTTATTTTATTTGGAGTTGAGTTTATAAAATGTATTTTATTAAAAAAATTTGTAATGTTTTCACGCATGAAATGTTTTAACATTAATATATTCATCAGATTTTTGGTTCAGTTAGAAAATAGTGCCCATATAAAGAATTCCAACAAATTTGAAGTATGTACCATTACCCATTTTTAAAATCATGCGCGTAAGGTGGAAACATGACGAAAAATTTCGACACAAAGCGGATTAAATTGCAAAACTATTTGTGGCAACACAAACTTTCTGGTTACTAGATCCCAAAGCAACTATGTTATGTAGTCAGCTGTAAAAAGTTGGAAGTAATTGCTTTTAAAATAAATAAAATATCCCAATTCTTGCAACTATCACATATTAGAAGATAATAAGGGGTTTAAGGTGTATGAGCCCCTTTAAGTGAGTATACTATAAATTTGGAGTTACATAACTGGTTTCATATAAATCAGGCAGCAGGACTAAAATTTAGCACCGAAAAAATCTGCAAAAAAAAATGTACCTTTTTACTTCTTATATAAATTTGAATTAATCAGTAGGCCCACCTAAAAGGGGATAAGGTTTTTCATTTAAAATCATTACATGAAACTCAAAAGGCTTAAAAACTATAAGGCAATCAATTTTCTGGTGAAACACAATAAAGACTGGTGGATACCGGGACACGCAAAAATACTGCTTTACGACAATTACTAGTTTTCAATTCAATTCAGTTCATTTCATTTCTCCTACAAAATAAATACATAAATAAATAAAAATACTGTAAAGTAAAACCTTTAATTAAAACCGGCTGTCACCAGAATGAAATAAATAAAAGCACCATTAGAATATTAAATACGCATTTCGAACATTAATCTGAACAAAATAACATAAGCATGTTTTTAGTTATTTCTTGTATGAAATTTCATGAAAAAATGGTCTTTCCTTATCAGGTAAAATAACAAAAGTTTAGCGGGAGGTGAAAGACCTGATTATTAGAGGTCCTCTGATTTTTCGGGAAGAACAGAAGTTTCATGGCTGCGGAGGATGCAGTTGGTTTGCGGTTCCAATAAATGTTCTTTTCTTTCTCTTTCTTGTGTTGTCCTCGATCCGTTGCAATACTTTTCTTTTCAAATGTTTTACGCCGGCAATTTTCATCATATGTGTATCGCTCCAAAAGCCATTTATGGTTTTTCATTAGGCTGATCAATTTTCGCAAAAGTTGGTGTTACTTTTCAAAGTTTCGAAATGTTTTGAATGTAATCGTATCAGTGAGAGCTGTGTTGTTCTAAATTATCGCAATCTCGAGGGCATACCTTCAAACAAAAATATCTGTAATTTCCTTTCGATTGGTTGAGGGGATTGGGCCGGTAGGGGTTCATATAGCGGGGAAATTCTTTTATGATCACGCTGCATTTTACAATACTGGCCATTAAAATTGCAACACCATGAATGCAAAAAAGCATGCAAAAAAGATATTTATTGTACGTAAAACAGTATGGCATGAAGACAAAATGATTAAATTTGTAAACTGTTTGGAGGCTTACAGGAGTGCGAAATTAATAGAAACAGCTGGCACCCCCGGCAAATCAAATGGCACGTGCCTGCTTAGGCATGGAGTCGAATTGAGCTGAGATGACAGAAACGGGCAACCTGTTGCTTCAAATCTATGCCACACTCCATCAACCGTATTAGCTGGAGGCGGTGCAGACCAGGGCAGTAATTGAATACGCTGTGTATCGAGGAATTACAGAACACGAAGTGCAAATATGTGGTCTTGCATTATCTTTTTGGAAGGTGGCGTTTGGCAGGCCTCGAAGATAGGGTACAGCCGCTGGATATAAGATGTCAGAAATATATTGATCTGCGTTCAAATTACCGTAGATCCGAACTAGAGATGTCCGTGTCGTGTACCCAGTGGGCAGCTCAAACCATCGCACCAGATGCAGGGTGCCTATGCAGATATCGAATGCAAGCAGGCGACGAGCGATCTCCTCGCAACCTGCAGATACGTATACGGCCATCAGAATACTGCACGTAGAACCCGGACTCGTCTGAAAAGGCGTCATTGTGCCACTCCTGTATCCAGCTTTGTCGTTCGGCGCACCAGAGCCGTCGTCTCTCTCTATGCTGCATTATCAAGGGAAGGCGACGCAATGATCGCCGTGCTAACAGTCCGCGTTGCTGCAAACGTCGACGCACCATACCAGCGGATACTGGGCGTGCTGAGAACATGCCCATTTATTGACTTATGGTCCGTGATGTGGTTGTACAGTTTTACAGGGCTGACCTCACAATATGTCTGTCCTCTCGGGCGTTAGTCATGGGAGGGCCTTGAGCCGTTCAGTGTGACTTTCAGCAACCCATTTATTCCATATTCGCATGACTGAGATTGCCTGTCGACCGGGCTGTATCACGGAATGATAATCCACACTCTCGATAGACAAAGATCCTGCCTCTATCGGATTCCAACACTTGCTGGTAATCATTTCGTTTTCTTATTTGAGGCATAACACGATATTTTGAGTAATATCCGACTTTGCAAAGCGCTTTCCGAATGAGAAATCCACTACACAAGTTTTCTTTATGTAGTGCTTCAGATGTCGTTTCTGCCTCCTGCGTCGTCTAAATGTGCTGAAACACTAATCATTTGCATATCCCAACCTCTTCTTCCTTTCATGTGATTTTGATGCTCGTTAGGTCATTCCTTCGTGGATTTGCAATTTTAATGGCCGGCAGTGTAGTTTATGGTTTCTTTGTGTGACGCTCCACGAATTACATCTGACCGGTTGGTTTTGGGTTTATGGCCAAGCCTCGAGAGCTACTGCCTAAAGTACCTTCGTGTACGATTTTCTAAAAGAAACTCGCTCTTATACACGCTACGCATGGGGAAAGTCACGAAAACGCCCATCAGCCGACCCGTTCACGGGATTCGAACATCGGACTGAATTGTCAGAGTTGAGCGACTTTACCGCTCAGCTGCTGGTTGGCCTTACATCTGAAACGAATTAATCAGAATGAGCGGTATTGTAATTTTAGTGAATTTGAAATTATTAGGTCTATAAGAGATGATTTGTTTTTATATTATTCTAAATTGCGAATAATTACTTTAAATATTAAATAACTATTCAGAGTACTTACGACAAATAACTATAATCTTGTAATCTGGAAAAATCATTCTTGGGCATGCTTCATTATTATTAATGAAAGAATATTATTGTTTTCTAATTACTATTCTTACACATGATGATATTTTTAATTCTATAAATAAAAGGACTTATATTTAATTCTTATTAACTAAAAATTCCCAAATTACTTAAAGACGTAATTCGATTAGGTTATCCTATTTGAATTGTCACTTCTCTCAAATTATCACTGTATTGATCATTTCCAAATATCATCATAATTTATAAATTTTTATATGTTTATTTATTCAATGATTCTGAACCACTGAGACGTGGCACTTTTGGGAGCCACGGTATTTTTGAAGGGTGCAGCCAAATTTTACGAATGCATACAAAAGAAATTATTCTGTAAGTACCTATATATAATTATAAAGGCAAGTTTTACAGGAAATTGTCTACGTCTCAATTGAAACGGCAACCCTGTGCCACGGCAGCTTCACCCCATTGGCTAGTACAGTTACGCAAGCAACCAATAAACTATCGACGACAAACAGACACTTAAGCCGCATACAATAAAGATATTTATTTATTTCATTTTATTTGTTTTTCATCGTTGCCGGTGAATATTTCCGAATCCTATTATATAGAGATGTTAAATGCACGTGCTCTTGTATTTTTAATTTTTCCAGCTAAGCTTTCTCATAAATATTCGTCACGCGCTGCACTGCACGGGAAATAAAACAATTTACAGTTATGCAAGCAACCAATAAACTAACGGCGACAAACACTTAAGCCGCTTATATATATATAGATATGCGAAATTTCAAAAAGGCCCCAGTGTATAAATTCACGCATATTTGAGGAAAGTTTGAATTAAAAATTGTAATTTTTACAGGTATGCCTAAAAATAAATCTGTATTAAGGTAATGGTAAAGTTTTTACAGTTTAATTAAGAAAGTTCTTCGAAAAATTTATAAAAAAAATACTAAATATAAATTTTGAAAACAAATCAGAAAATAGCTGGGAATTTTAGCTGAACTGAACCTAAATTTTGAATTGTGAAAGAAGGAATCAAGTAAGTGTAATAAAAAAGAGATATTAATAAGCGTATAGCAAATTCAATAACATTGAGAATAAATTTTTGAGAGCTAATTTTTTAAACATTGCTCGTGCACTTTTTATAAAACTTGGCACTTTGCATTATTTGAATCATAGAATCGAAATATGGGAAAAACGTAGTTAACGGCATTTCAGAAAAAGTTCTATTTTGTTTCCGAATACCTATGTTAGAACAATAATATATATAAATCTAATATATACTCTAAGTAGCGCTTTTGTGACATTAAAAATGCAAGCTTAATTTCGCCGATCGGCACATAGAACGAGAGATACAGAACCGACCCATTTTTTGTGCAATGTGTACATACAAAATAATGTTTTTTGGATGCATTTCTAAAATTTGGCGGCAAACTAAAGTGCCGCTGCATAGTAGCTGAGAGTTCCTACTGTAAGATCTGTATATAATTATGAGTTTTAGACTTTCTGACAGAAGTATTTTATGATTGCAAAGTTCAAGATATTAAGTTTGAAGTGGAATATAATATCTGAAAAGTGTAATTATCTTTTACAAATACTTACCAGCCGTAATGGGTGCCTTATAACTTTCAGCCTCTGGTTGACCCCAGAAAGATTCAAAGGCGTAACAGTTGTTTGGTTTCCCCAAACTGTCGGTTGGTTGAACAAAGACGTAATTCCTAAAGGTATAAAAGTAAATTCGGTAACATGGAAGGAATTAAATGTTAAGATGATATTTTATATGCCATTTGGTAAGACGAATATGTGATTAAATTCTTATCTTTCTCAACTCTTCTCTCAACTTTCGAATTTTAACATAACAGCTTAATTAAAAATATCTTTTGATATATAAAAAAATTAATATCTTGTAGATTATGTGAAATTTTCGTTTCATATTGGCTTCAAAGTTCGGGTTCGATCGAGAGAAGAACAACATACAGGGGTTGGACAAAAATATGGAAACACCTTTAAAAAAACATGTTTCTTTGCTTAATATGGTGTAGGAAACCCGTTGGCATCCAAAACAGCTTGCAGTCTTCTAGGAATGGATAAATACAGTTCCTGTATGTTTGCCAAGGGGATATTATACCATTCTTCCTGCAAAACGGTGGCAAGTTCAGATAACGATGTTGGCCGTCGATAACAAGAACGCACTTCCGTTCCAATGTAGACCACAAAGGTTCGATAATATTCAGGTCTGGTGACTGTGGTGGCCAGGGAAGGTGGAACAACTCATCCTCGTGCTCAGAAAACCAGTCCTGGAATGTGAGCTGTGTGAACAGGGGCTTTGTCGTCTTGGAAGACACCCTCACCATCGGGGAACAAAGTTTGTACCATGGGATGAACTTGATCGGCCAAAATGTTCACATAAGTCTTGGAAGTCATGTGCCCTGACACAGTTATCATGGGGCTAGCAGAGAACCACGATATGGCTGCCCAAACCATAACAGAACCCCCGCCATGTTTCACTCTTGGCAACAAGCAGTCTGTATTATAGGCTTGAGATGGCGTTTTCCAGACGTAAACTCGGCCAGAAGTGGGAAACAATGTGAAAGAAGACTCATCAGAGCATATTACTCGCTTCCACTGCTCTATAGTCCAGGCTTTATGACTTAAACACCACCTTTTCCTGTTATGGGCATTAGCATCACTGATGAGTGGCTTCTCAATTGCAGCACGGCCAGCAATTCCCTGTTTATGAAGCTCCCTTCTAATTGTTTTGGTACTCACATTGTTCGGTAACACAACATTCATTTCAGCAGTAACTTTTGCATTTGTGGTCTTATTTTTCGTCACAATTGCCCTTAATGATCGTCTGTCACGATCACTCAGGACACACTTTCATCCGCGCTGTGATTTAGCAGATGATGTTTTTCCGCTTTTCAAATATGCGGAATAAATCTTCGATACAGTACCTCTTGAAACACTAAACACCTCGGCTACCTTGCTTACGGAAGTAAAGCACCTACCATACGTGCTCCAACAATTTGACCACATTCGAAGTCAGTTAACTCTGACATAATGCAATGACAACCTCACATAACAGTACTCCGACAACAACTGAACAGTTTAGCACATTTACGAAGTTGTATAGGTGGCGTCAGTGGTCAAAAACGCCAGCGCCACCTACATATTTTATTAAAATCAATCTTTCTTTTCAAACATGCATTTCACAAGGTGTTTCCATATTTTTGTCCATCCACTGTAGTTTCTCATGTGGCACGTAATGCAGTGTTCCCAGGGGCTTTCCCCAGAGCGACTGAGTCACGCGGACTCGTTCTTAGCTTGAACCTTGACCATAAATGACCCTATAAAATTTCTCCCCTTGACCATAAATGACCCTATAAAATTTCTCCCCTTGACCATAAATGACCCTATAAAATTTCTCCCTTGATCCTATAAAATTTCTCCGACCTCAGTGGGTCCAACCCCGTTGGGGAGCTCTTATTTTGGCCTTATAGTTAGAGACGGAAAGCCTCTCTGAAACAGCACATAAAAATAGTTAACTAAAAACGATCAAAATATCTTAAGCAAATCCAAACAAATTCCTTGATTTCAAAACAATTAAATTCAAGTTAATCTAAGCCAGCATTAACAAAATCGTAATTAAACTTTTATAATATACAGAGCATGCGTAATAAAACTGAAAAATTAATTGTTTTAGTTTAAATAGAATGATGTATACACATGTAAAAGGATTAACTTACTTGCAAGCTTGAGTTCCGTTTAACTTAACTTTACAGTATTTTATAAGATCATTCTGACGCTGCCCCACGTTTTTCAATAATTTCAAGTCTGGTACGAAGTTAATAATGCGCCACGTAATTGGTCTCTAAAAATGCAAGAATCTTCTTAAATTCCTAAATAATGAGGTTAATTAGTAAAATAAAGTATTATAACTCAATATAGAACAAGAACAAATTCCATTGGCGGGATTCCATAACTTCCACCAGTGGCTTTATAGTTATAAATCGTACTAACTGTGTAAGGATCCTAAGTTTTACTAACATTTATTTTATTTTAAAACTGTACTATCATTTCTTATTTTCTACTTCCGGCTAGAATTAAATGCTTTAACTTGTTTATGCAAATTGTCTTGCTAACGCCCAAGTACTTAAGTTGAGGCTTTTTGCCAAGCGAGAGAGAGAGAAGGAGTTTTAGGAAGCAATCCGCTTGCCACTGTAGTTTTACGAGTTTTCACTCGGTTGCTGGTTGCCTTTAAGGCCAGAGGTTTAGCCCTCTTGATATTTGCAAACGTATCGTAGTTTCAGCAGCTCGACGTACTACATATGTACCCCCTTTTAAATAAAGGCCAGTCTTAGAGCTAAGCATTTGTATACTAATTCAAAGTTAGCTTTTAGTTAGAGTTTTACTTAGTAGTTCTTACGTTCAGACCACAAGTGGTTGGTCTCTGTATTCCGAAGTTCGGAAGTGCCTGTACAGTATTGAAAATAAGAGATTTCGTATACCCTTCCTGCTCATGTTGTCTACTTCACACCTTCTGGAACATAGCTTGAGTAAGCTCCCTGTTCCTATTCAGGATCATTCATGTTTCCAAAGCAAATCAAGAGAAACACAAGTCCTGACAACTGGTCGTATAAAATTTGATCTCGAACACCCCTATTATTCCTCTAGCACGGCAGAATACCAGTGTCTGAACAAACAGCCAATGCATGAACAGTTGAATGAACAGTTGGATTGCCTACCTTCTGCGCCTCGATCAAGGACGAAAGATGAGAACTTAGGCATGTGAATAGCGTTACCACCTCGGCTGTCAAAATCCGGGAGAAGAAAAAAGTTTTTTTTTTTCGTATTTTTTGAGCTGCAGGAGGAAGCACACTCTCGCAAATACCTGTACATTTTGCTCTACCACAAGAATTTTTTTTTTTTTTTTGCCAAAGAAGAATCTGGAAATAGAGCGCTATAACAATTTGTTTGTGCAATAATGGTTATTAAAACTATGATGGTGCTTAATCCTATGATAGACTGAAGTAATTTCAATTGCTGATATATTGTCCTGTTCTTCTGAAGATTTCTTCATGAAAAAGTTCGAAAACCGATTGCGATGAATCCCTATTCAATATTAACGTCTGGTGTTTCTTGCTTTGGGAATGTACAGTTAAAGCTCTAACATTCTCGTACTGTTTTCCGACGAACTTTACGTTCTCCGTTAAAGTTGTCTCTCTTCATTCATCAAATTGAGTTAACCACTTGTCTTGAAACGACGTCGAATATTTTGTCTCCGTTTGTGGCACTTGTTTACTTGCAGAATCAGAATATTTTTTTTCACTAGATATTATTATGAAAACATTTAAATAATTCCAAAATATGCACTTGTTTGTGGATAGCTAGCTAATTGGACCAAGGAAGGGTTCATTTACGAGGCACTTAGGCTTGGAGCCTTTATCCCCACACTATCAAAGATTAGTATTATCATCAAAAAGAGGGTTCGGCAAAGAGGTAAAGATTTGGTGTCTAAATGTTTAAAAATAACAATAAATGAAAGAATGGATTGAAAATGAGAGGGTGAGGGGAGATGAGGGCGCGTGCTCGCGACACGCCGTTATGAAACCACTACTCATTCCGTAAGGTGCTTACTCACCACTCAATGTAGTTCGCTGCTATAAAGAATATGTATTGACATAGACGTTCTTTGGGTGCTGCGCGCAGTCGTGTGATTTTTGATGTTCTCAACCATTTCGTCGTTATTTTCGAGAAACTTGATATTCTAGGAATATATTTAAATTCCTTCCGGAAGCCGGGAGATTTTAATTTTCAGGCTTCAATTCCGGGAGAATCCCGGAATTCCAGGATAGGTAAGAACCCTACATGTGGTCCCGTCAATAGCTCAGTAAAACTCATAATTAAAATAAATCACTGTACACAAAAACATCAAAGTGGACTGTATCACAAAAATGTATTATTTACTCAGAAAAGCCGCTTAATTCACATCCCTTGGCGGCATCTCAGAACTCAATCAAAAAACTCAACAGAAGTGGCCACGAGAAGACGCGACAAACAAGCATCGGTGTCATCTCTTGGCGCGTTTTGAACACAAAATATTACATATTTTTCACAGAGGGTCATATTACATATTTTTCACACTAAGACTAGGGATTAGGGAGTCAAATCCTTGTGCTAACGAATTATCGTCCACCACCTTTCAGTTCGAATGCCAGAGTTTTAGGTTATTTTTAAGAGGGAGATGGGGAAAATGTCCAATTATAATTATCCCAACGGATTTGGTTGATTGTCCGAATATCAAAAACACGTTAGGCTAATGGAAGAGGTGTCTTCGTAGAGGATTTTCTAAAGAAGACTGGCCCGTATTCATGTTACATTAATTGCAACTGAAAATTTGTTTAAAAGGAGCAAGAAGTAGAAAACAAATAAGGCATAATGATTAACGAATTGGTCAAATTGAATTCATTTAATGAATGTTTCTGAATTATTATTGAAGTGATAAATTAGATGATAAATGGCCTACATATTTAAAGAGCTATTTTTAACTCATTGCAGTTACAATCAGACGTATTTCTAATATTTGTTTTTTTATAAAATTATTTACTGACCGCAAATACTATATCTTCATCACTCTCGTAGGATATGCAAAACTTCGGAAAAATTGAACAAAATTCTGTCCGATTCTTGAAACCCCATTCACATTCATCTGGTAAAACTCGGCAAAACGCCTTGCGACGAAGTCTGGAAAAGGAAAATTTTCATAGTTTATAAAATAGCTGAAGTATTAACTATTACAAAATTAATATTTTCGGTAAGTATAATATTCATCGTGCACAATGTTTATAAGACATGTTTTCAATTTAAAATGTTGATAATGTAAACTATTTTAAGGCAGTGTCTCAAACCGGCGGCCCTCAAAGCTATTTTATGCTGCCCGTAAATATATTTTAATTATGTATTTGCTGCAAATATTTAAATATTTTGTTATCTGAAGTCATATCTTATATTATTTTCGTTACCACTGAAAATGAACATGAATAACAAAATCTCTAAATGGAACTAATTAATTTATAATGTGATATAAAGGTTATTAAAATATTTGAAGATACAGACTTTTTAACTTTTAATTCGTACTTTTTAAAAAATAAATAAGCTCAGTTACGAACTTTTGCACCAAGAACAACTGCGTTTCCGGGGTGTTTGGTTTGGTTTATTCGATTATGGCAAAGCATTCGAGGGGTATCTGACTAAAGGGACGGCTGCTTTCGCGGTGGACTTGCTAAGAAAACCTGGCTCGCACACAGTCTGTATAACATAAGAAAAGCTCTCGCCAATTAGTCTTCAGCTGTCCTTTGCCATAGAAACGAGTCTTGACCCATTTTCCGTAGGAGGGTCTTGAAGATTTACTTTTCAGTTTGCCATCTTGGCGCATTTAAAGACGAATTAGCAACCTTTGGTTCGCTCCTATTTGTAATTTACTAGACCTGTTGCTATAGCAACCGCCACCCGCCAGACAGTGTGGTGGGAGCTATTCTTCTCATAGACAGACAGAATACGTTGCACATTGGGAAAATCACGAAAACGCCCATGCAGCCAGCTCGTTCGCCGGTATTCGAACTCCGTATCGCACTACCAGTATTCAAGACTTTAGATCGCTCTCGAGCTAACTTTTGAACTCAAGACACTAATACTGGACTCAACACACTAATACTACAGGCAGGGTATGTATAGTTTTAACCTACCTTTGAGAACATTCCCGAGGGAAATCCCCAGTAATGCATTCTAGAACGTTCTCGCCGCGTCAATGGCATATCGCGAACTTTGTCGCCAAATGGGCGATTTTGCTTCAAATCTGGCAACCCTGCTTTTCTCTGCCACTTTCTGGCAACCCCGACAACGCTTTGCTGGGAAGCTGTCTTACCGCAGCTGGACATTTCATAACAATATTTAGTAAGTGAAATTGAAAATTTATTTAAAATGTTTTTTATTTTTTGATAAAAAAATTTATTTTGTTAAAAAAAGGTCTCGCTCTTCTTTGTCTGGCCTTTTTCTTTTTAGATCGTGCCATCTGCCCGCATGTAATTTGAGTTTGAGACCACTGGTATAAGGACTGTCAAAATCAGATGAATGCGTCAAAAATGACAAAGATTTAAGATTCATAAAAATCATTATTTTACAGTAAAGCACGCAATATTCATATAGATCAATAATCATAGCCAAGAGCTTTAAATTTCTGTTTCATACTGCTTTGACAGTTTCTATTCCAGACGCCATTTTAGAAGTATGCAGCAAAATATTCGATCACTAATATATTTCTACACGCCGCGCAGTCGGTATAGTGGTCAGGGAAGCTGACTGCGATGCCGAAGGCCCTGGGTTCGAATCCCGGATAAGGCATGGTTGTAACTCTCCGTCCGTTCATAGGAAAGGCGATGGTGGCCCACCTATTAGGTGCCTCCATAATAAAGAGAACACTACATCCGTCCTTTTATAGATTAATGGACTGGGTTACATTTGTAATTGTTCACAATCTGCCATTGGAAAAAATTGGATATATATATATATATATATATTTCTACGCTGATGCGTATCTCGTGTTATCCTCGTCTACAAAGGTTTCAAATTCTTAGGCTTTTGACCAAGATCGGATATTTGAGTTGACTAGTACGTGTATGATGATGCATACAGTATACGATAATATCTAAATCCATGTTTTATATCGTATTGTGTGGGTTGTCGGAAAACAAGGAGACTCTGAAGCTTAATTTTTGAATTGCTGAAATTCCAGTGATTCTGAGCATGATATATGCTTCGTTAAGAATTCGTATTCTTGAAAATCTTTCGTCATTCTTAAAATCTTCACTAAAGATCATTTATTTTGAGAAATCGTTTTCAGTGGTATATCATTTAAAGGACTGCATTCATTACTTTTGCGAGTAATCTTCAGAAATCTTCCCTAAACTGTTTTGTTGCTCTACTCGTTTTTGTTTATTTTTTAAAGTTCTTATGATAAAGTAACCATTGTGTTATGTGCGTGAATGCACACAGAACCTATGATAAAGTGATAAAATTTATTTTCCAAAAAGATATACATACTTTGCAGTTCTGGATCTTTTCACAAAAGTACTCGTACAACTCTTCTGATTATGACAGAGCATAACCAGAAGTTACCACTTTAAACCATTAAGAATGTCAAACACAAAACAATTGGAAAACTCGCACTGTCATCTCTGAGTACTCTAAGTTGAACTGAAGACTGTTGTTCTCTTTGTGTTGTAGAGTTTTACCCTGTCCGCCGAGAAACTTCCAGTACCTTGGATTTCTCGAAAGTGCTGGAAGGCATACACAATTACAGTTACATAGGGTCGGAAAAAGTTACAAGATACCCGTCGGACCAGTTACACTTATATAGGGATCAGACCAAAATATCGTCTAATGGTCGTCGAATATAGCAACGTTTGGTGATTCAGTAAATTTGGTGATAAAAATTACTCGCCAAAACCATCGTTAATTTGGCGCTATCTCGCCAAATTGATGAGATAGCAATTAGCTCTTGTTAAACGGATTTGCCTCTGTAACCTTATTTTTCTCGGCGAAAGCTTCACACTCTTGAGGCCTTTCATGTTACGTTACACAAGTGGTACTACAAATTATACATAATTTCACTGAAATTATTTACATAATGCAGAATTCATATGATTTTGATCATTACTTCAACTTCTTTCTGTATGCTTCATCAGAATGCAAATCAGCTTGTAGTGTATTTAAGCTGAGGAATTTTGACTCTTAGAGAGAATTGGAGATGTTTGAAACACAGGAAAATTAACTTTCCCCTCTCCATGAACGATGAAGCAACGTGCACACCACACGTGATGTAGCCCAACCACGAGCTGACGCCTTCTTGGAACCCCCTTTCTTCGCAGCACAGTATCTATCGTTTCGCTAACGCTATCGCAAGGATTTTCATTTCCTCTCTCGGAAAGTAAAGTGCTCCTTTTTTCTTTCTCCGACAAGTTTCTTCTCACATGGAGAATTTCCTTTAGGAGATACATCCTTCAAGACATATTAGACATAACGATGACTCGCTACTTGTGTAGTAAGGTTATAGGACTAGGTTCTAATATCAGACCAAGTAGAACTTCATAAAATGGTTGGACAATTTTTACTCGTTTTGTTATAAGACGCCATTTTGAATTTCTGTGTTAAGCAAGCTTTTAAAATTGTTTATGGCTATTTGGAAAAGTCTGCAAACATCATGCAAGCAGTCATATTTATGGACTATGTAGAAGAGTGACGCACGTGCCTCTGCATAATTAGAAAGCATCAAAAACGTAAAGCATAAAGTTATCCAGGTGGCCCGTCATGGCACAGGCACGGTAGCTATAACAAATATAACAAAAAGGCGCATAAGAATACACAGAAGTTTTCTCCAATTTGCGTTTATCATTGGCTTCATCACGCAACTGACGATTTCATTTTAGGCGGCAATCATAACGCTAGGTGATAAGCTAAAGCAAGCGTAGCATTCACTGTAAACAGGAGGATTGCTGCATTGAAGAATTCGCTAAATGTGACTCGATGGTGGATCGAAGATTATGTACGAAATATCAAAGAAAATCGTCAAAAAGTCAGAAAATTTGTTCGTTGCACAATTAGCTTAAAATAACTGCCTGCCTGCGCGTCGCAAAACGAATGAACCACAATCTGTAATACACTAGATGAATATATCAAGTGTCTGCACATCTTGGAGAGGTTATTTATGTACTAATATGCACCTGTTGATGCATTTGCTACAGTTATTCTATTCTGAATTTTCGAAACTCCGTAAGAAGTCCTTCCGGTGCACAGCACAAGATGCCACAACACTGCGAAAGTGACACAGCACAGTGCAAGTCCACGACACAGCGCAAGATGCCATGATGTAGCGCAACAGTTCATAATACTTCACACGTGATACCACAGCACAGGGCAAGATGGAATGCGACTGTTCCTTAAAAAATCAAGGTTTTTTTTTTTTTCAGTCAGAACATAAAAATAAAAATAAAAGGCAATGAAGAACAAAAAGTAATAAACTTCTGTCATCTACTACTTAGTTTTTCTTCTAAGACATTTAAAAATATCAGTATTATAAAGATGTAAAGATTTTATAGCTTTGTAACTTTTGCAATGAAACATACTTTGCAATGTGTTACTACTTGCAAATGCAATACTTTGCAGTTGGAATGTTTCCATAATTATTTCCATAATTTATATTCCATAATTTTGTATTCCATAATTATTATTATTAACTCTTAAGTATAACTTAAGAGTTTTACTGCAATTCAACTTTACCGGAAAACTTAGATGAAAGACATAGTATTTAAAAATCGCAAAATTTATATCCGGTACATTATATAAAAGGTAGACTTTAAAGTTTTATTCTTTCTTGCGCAAAAAAAATTCTTTTTTCGTAGAATGAAAGGTTAGGGTTTGCTTTCACGAATGAAAAATAAAATTCTGTTGTCAAAAACTAAATTAGTCAGCAACTTTCAACTACTTCTCTTAAACATTTTTGCTTTCAGGGCGTATATTTATCTTACTTTAAACTATTCCAAAAGATAAGTAACAGTTTAAAGAATAAGAAATTCTTTTTCGTTGAATGAAAAAATTTCAGAGGGTTTGCTTTCACGAGTAAAAAATAAAATTCAATCTGCTGTCAAAAACTAAATTAGTCAGCAACTTTCAACTACATCTCTTAAACATTTTTGCTTTCAGGGCGTATATTTATCTTACTTTAAACTATTCCAAAAGATAAGTAACAGTTTAAAGAATAAGAAATTCTTTTTCGAAGAATGAAAAAATTTCAGAGGGTTTGCTTTCACGAGTAAAAAATAAAATTCAGTCTGCTGTCAAAAACTAAATTAGTCAGCAACTTTCAACTACTTCTCTTAAACATTTTTGCTTTCAGGGCGTATATTTATCTTACTTTAAACTATTCTAAAAGATAAGTAACAGTTTAAAGAATAAGAAATTCGTTTTTCGTTGAATTAGAAAATTTCAGAGGGTTTGCTTTCACGAGTAAAAAATAAAATTCAGTCTGCTGTCAAAAACTAAATTAGTCAGCAACTTTCAACTACTTCTCTTAAACATTTTTGCTTTCAGGGCGTATATTTATCTTACTTTAAACTATTCTAAAAGAGAAGTAACAGTTTAAAGAATATCATGATACTTACATGTTCTTGTTGCAAATCGTAACTGCTGGTAACTCTACTGTATCTGGATTCTCTAACTGCACATCTACCATTGTTGGGTATGCCATATACATACGAAGAAAATCAGATGTTTGATACAGGAATCCCGCAGTACAGATGATGAAAACAATTGTCTTGACTAATTTGCGGGTTACGCTTCGAGTTGAAGCAATGACTGGGAAACCTACAGGGAACAATTTTTCATTGAAAGCATTTTTCACTAAATATCTGCCTATTGTTATATCACTCAAATGCTGACGAATATACAGTGGTGGCCAAAATTGTGGACACTTTTGGAAATTTTTATGTTTTTGAATTTTGTATGCTTATAGAAAACGTTACGTTTCACAAAATGCAAACTTGTATATATATTTTTTAAAGAGAATTTATTACTGAATTCGATACAAAACACAAAATTCAATTATTTGCAATACAAAAAAGTTAAACGATAATAGTTATCGATATACATTAGATAGTGATGATTGCAGTGAGTTATCAGTACTTGGTAGGGTACCCTTTATTTTTGACTACAGCTTCACATCGACGTTTCATTGAGCTGACAAGAGTTTTAAGCTCTTCTTTCGTTATTACATGATGCCAGGAAACAATTATAGCCTCAATTAGTTACCTTTTATTTGATGGACGCCTCATTCCGACAAGAGTTTTCAAACGGTGCCACAAATTTTCGATAGGATTGAGGTCAGGACTGTTTCCTGGCCATGACAATAATTTAATGCTCTTTGTACGAAACCACTCTTTCGATATTTTGGCCGTGTGGCAAGGAGCAGAATCCTGCTGAAAAATAAACGAAGCATTGTTTGGAAAAGATCTCTGATGGAAGGTAGAAGTTTTGGTTCTAGAATAGTGTCAATGTATTTTCTGGCATTCAGTGTCCCATCGATGACATGAAGGCGACCAATACCATCTGCTGACATACATGACCAAATCATAACACTAGCTGGGTTCTTCACAGTTGCTTTAATGCAGTCAGGATGTAGCTCTTCTCCTATTCTACGTCTTACATATTTTCGCCCATCACTACCGAATAACGATATCTTAGTTTCATCACTCCATATAACTTGTGACCACTGATCATCTGTCCAATTAATGTGTTCCTTTGCCCACTGTAGTCTTTTTTTTTTTTTTTTTTTTTTTTTTCGTTGCCGAAAATTAAGATAAGGCTTTTTTTCGTGGAATTCTACCTCTCAGTCCAACATCTGTTAATCTTCTCCTGATTGTTCTTAAACTGACAGAAACACCAGCATCATTCAGATCACTTCTGATGGCCGCTGATGACATTTTTCTATCTTGGAGACACAGTCTTTTTATTCTTCTGTCATCAATAGATGTGGTGCACCTTTTTCGGCCTTTTTCTTCTTTGTTTTGTATTGAATTTGTCTCCTGATATCGTAAACAAAACTTTCGGACTCCAGATGTAGTCACTGAACCACCTACCTGTCTTGCAATTTCAGCATAGGAAAGACCACTTTCTCGTAACACAATAATATTACATCTCTTTCTAGGTGTCCAATCTACTCTTTTATATGATGTCATTGCTTCTTGACTAAATATTAAAACTTTTTACAAAAATTCCTACTTGTAATTGCACTGTATAAGAAACAGGTCCTCCTTCTACAGAACAAAGCAAAATAATGAATTGTTTCAAGTGAAAACATGATGTCAGCGTCTACTGGCAGTTACTAACATTTGATTGGTTCTCAGAACAAGAACAGTGATTGGCCAGGAAAGCTAGACATTACAAACAACTTCATAACTGTGTTTTTTATTTATATTTACATTTAACATATAACTTAATTTAGTACATATAACTTTTTTTTTGTATTGCAAATAATTGAATTTTGTGTTTTGTATTGAATTCACTAATAAATTCCCTTAAAATGATATATACAAGTTTGCATTTTGCGAAACGTAACATTTCCTATAAACATACAAAGTTCAAAAACATAAAAATTTCCATAGTGTCCACAATTTTGGCCACCACTGTAAAGGAGTAAGAAATAAGCAAGATGTTTTGTGCCATACATATAAGACTTCCTCGCACAGAAAAAAGATTTATAATCAGTTATGCACTTACGTTAATGTGATTTTTATTGCAGCTGATTGCAAATGTATAAATAAAAGTATCAAGGAATGTAAATTAATTTAATATCTGATAAATATTCAAACGGAAATGTTTCAGACTGTATATGCAGTCCCTTTAATCCCTCCTACCCAATATGAGACTATTGTTAAGCTACTTATTTAACAATGTTGAATAGAAAGAATTAAGTAGAAAATTATGACGAAACAACTTTTATAGAATTCTTAGTATTTCTTATCAGTATTGGTTTAGTTTTACGTCTGTGCGAATAGTTGAGAAATTTACTGCAAAAGCAGAAGCTGAAGTTGTAGAGACATTAGGCATATTTTGGAAGCAAGGGAGGTGAAAAATGAGCAACGTCTTCTCCGGGACTCGAATCACGGACTTCTCGAATACGCGCCGAGCGTGCTGACCACTACACTACGAAGGCATGCTAATAAGGTGGGAGAAATACCTTATAAAGTATCAACTACCACTTTTTTTTAACTCGCATTCAGTGTCAGATAAAATATGTCTTTCCAAATTTTTCTTTTTTGGAGAGACAACTTTCATCTGTTTAGAAATTTAAAATTCAATATAAAAAAATAATCTGAAAGGGTTCAGATTTTAAGGAGCGCACAAGAGGATTTGTTGAAGTTTTTTACGCTCTCGATGAGTTCGCAATCTACCAGTGTGCTATTCGACTTCTTACCGCTAACCCATTTAGTTTCATTTTCATTGCACTTACGCCATATGCAGTTCAACAGCAAAATTACAAAATTTTAAAAGAAGTGTAGCTTAATATGTTTAGAATACCTCATGCAAGCTAAAGGTTGCCATAACATCTCTGTTCTTTTCAGTCTTTTCTCAGTTCATCATATCAGTGTTCAGTTTTTTTAGAAAGATGGCTTTCTAAACTACTTTTTTGTGTTTTTATTATTAAAGTTTCTTGTGTTAACTTGATATATTAAATATCATGGTTTTTGCACTCATGACATTCAATTGAAGAGCAAATGACAAAACAGTTAAAAACAATATATCTAGAGTTTCTTGTAGTCTCGTGAATTGGAGACAAAAAATGTGTTTTTTTCGTGCAGGTTTGCTGCTGATCGCTTTGAAATCGTTGAGTTTGTTAATCAAAAATTCATTAAATTTTACCAAATTTTTACATTATTCAAAATTTGATGGCTCTAGGTACCGTCGATTTTTTACAGTGCGAGGAACATATATGCATGCATGCATGCAAATTCCCAATTATTTATTTTTTTTTAAATAATGCAGTGTGTGAATATTTGGTGGCAACAATTTGAAAAAGTGATTCACCGTTTATGTTGGAAGACGTAAAATCCCGTTTCGACGTAAAATCCATCCATTCGGGCTAAGGCCCTTTTGGGCTTTAAAAAAAAAACTAATTTCTTAATATTGCCTGCCAGTTGTCAATTAGAGATGCTACAGTACTTCTTCTGAAATAACATACCAGTGTTTTTCCATATTTCAGTTCTACTCAAATTATGTCTAGACATAAAATTTTATAATTTTTGGTGAGAAATTTATGGAGAAACTAAAAAATTTATTTTGGGGCTTTTTTTAGTCCAAAGGGATTTGAATCCCGAAGGACTATTAGTTTCGTTTTGGCATTTTGCGTCGGACTCATAAATGTCGGTTCACTTTTCAAACTGTTGCCATAAAATGTTAGAGAGTCCTGCATTATATTTGAAGAAATTAAATAATGAAAATCTGCGTAAATGTATGTTATATTTCTCACATTGTCATAAAATAACGGTACATAGAGTCATCGAATTTTGAATAAACGTAATCCTCCAACGAATATGAGCATGTGGAAGACCAAATTTGAAATTTGAAAATTTGTTTTATGATCGATTTCCTATTTTTTAAAACTTTGACGAATTTTTGATTAACAAACTCAAGGATTTCAAAGCGAGCAATGGCAACGTGTGTGCAGAAAAAAAACATTTTTATCTCCAGCGCGTGGAGTCTCTGTATCGGAAATTCTAAAGATATGCTCGTTTTAAAAACTATTTTGCGATATTGCTGTTGCACTGGATCTTATGGTTTAAGTGCGAGGAACATGATATTTAATAAAGAAAGGTAACACACAAAATGTTAATAAACGCCCCTTTGGACGTAATTTAAAATCTGAAACATTTCAGAATTTTTTTTTTTTTAAATTTAATTTTTATATTATATTTTTTATATACCAGCTTAATGAAGTACCTACAAAAAAATATGTAATGCTTTTTAAAGAGCTACTATTTTTTTTTTTTTTTTTTTTTTTTTTTTTCAAGTTTTGCTCCAAGAATAATTCACGTAGAGAACTTCTTAATTTATAGTAACCTCTTTTCCTTTCCCTTCTTTCATTGTGAACCAAAGGAGAAAAAACGTGAATTGTTTCTTCTTTCAAATAATTTTAACAGAGTGCGTATACCACATTTGGCGTTATTATTGCTTATAATGAATATGACAAACTTCAAAACGCGCCAAAAGGTAAATTCACGTATATCTTAGGAAACTTTGAATTAAAATCTCTAAGTTTCTGTATGTATGCTTAGAAATATATCTACTTTAAGATGATTGTAAAACTTTTATAGATTATAATTCAAACTTTTTTCCGAAAAATTTATAAAAATTATTTAAAAATTCAAATTTTAAAGATAAATCATAAAAAATGGGCGAATTTTATTTGTAATGAACCTAAATTTCGAAATGCGAAAGAAAGAATCAAATAAATTTAATAAAAAATTATGTTAATAAACATATATCAAATTCAATTAACATGGATTGGATAACTAAAATTTTGAGAGCTAATTTTTTAAAAACTACTCGTGTGATTTTTACAAAACTGGCATAATTTGAGTCCTAGAATCGAAATATGGAAAACAATTGGTATGTTATTTTAGAAAAAGTCCGATTTTGTTTCAAAATACTTATGTTAGAAAAATGCTATATATAAATCTAATATATATCGTAAGTTGAGCTTTTGAGACATGGAAAACGCAAGTGAAATTTCGACCAATAGAACGGCAGATATAGAACTGGCCTGTTTTTGTTTGTGCAAAGTGTACCTAGGTATTGTAAATGGTTAATTTTTACAAAAAATAAAATTTGAATCCCCAGTTAACACGAAATTTTTAACTCCCTTGGGACATTCATATTCACATTCTCATATTCACATTCATATTCATATTAAAATCCTCTAAGCGGCAACGCCGTATATATACGGCCTAGAATATTTTTGTGATATCTGTAAGAACGCATATATACGTGCATATTAATATATGTCAAAGAAATTAAAACAAGATATCAAAATGAAACAAATCCAGGTATGTAATACCATGAGAGCTTTTACATTAAAATAAAAATAATAACTTGTTCTCATAGTAGTTTTGGGAAATTTGCACTGAAAACCGCTCAGAGGATTAACGAGGATGTACTGTACATAAAATCCTTTTTCTCTTAATATATTGCCTAACTCTCGTATTTGCATTAAATCAAGCATTTCTTAAAACGGGTCGTTTTCATGAAAAAAATAATGACATCTAAGAATTATCCTGTATTTTAAATATTTATGTAAAACTTGAAATTAATGTTTCATTCTTTAGTCGCATGTTTACGATTTTTTTATCCTTGCAGTTAAAGAAAGTCTTAATCTGTATGCTGCAAGAATAACACTTTTAACTAAGTTCTGAAATTTTTACCTGTTATAAGTGACTGTTGGCAAAGACTTCTAAGATAATTTCGAAATCTGCTGATGTTCGTTTTCTTTTTCTTCACCTTCTCCAAATCATCATTATAGTACCTATGAAAGAAAGCATACTCAGTGAGATTTCATTATTTGTCCCAGTGTAAAACTGATTCCAACAAGTAATTTCATTTTTCCATAATTCTTTCAATAAATTATATATTCAATAAATTATTGTTATTCAAATGAATTTATTTTGTGCAAACTTGCTACATTCAAATTAGAAAAACAAGCAACCTTAATTTGGCCTAGGTTGCGAATAAAACATAATTCATCTAAGCAAACCTTAAATTATTTTTGAATTATCTAATATGAAATTTTATGTCCTGCGTGTTTTATTTCAATTTGAAATTTCCCTCTGCGTCTATAATTCTATATTAGCAAAGTGCTTAATGCTTTGTTTTCAAGATTTTTCAGCACCAGAGCATTCTCAGCTTCTAAATGGTATATGATAAAGTTCTTTCTCGTAGTTCTTTTGCCTTCTCGTATCTCTGCAATCCCTGTGCCAAGTACAAAACATAATGCTTAAGCATTGGCATTAACACAGTACAAGAATCAGTATCATTACAAGCATTAGTTACTTCAACTTATATCTCTTGTAAATTTAAATTTAAAAGTGAATTAAAATTTCTTTAAAATAGCCTAGTATAAAAATGGCTTGGCTTTACGTACATCAGCAAAGATTTACCACTTTTATGACCAAACATTTGAACATAGAGATTGATTTGTAATCCATAAATGTATCGAATTCAATAATCACATTCGTATTTACTCGCGTATATTTCTTTTAGCATTTTAGCACAAGGTTCTAAAAATTTTAAAACTTCTGATTCTAAGACTTCTAAAAATGCTAAGAATTCTAAGAATGCTAAGAATTCTAAAAATTCTCTAAAAATTCAAGGCATTCAAAACGCGAGCCTCCCTGAACTGTTGATTTCCTCGTCCATTTTGGGTAAATGTGCTCTGAAATCATGAACTATCACGAATGCCTTCAAGAACGCGCTGATATCTAACGGTCTGTTAACACTGAAGCTTATGAACTAAAGGAGACATCTGGCTGTACCTATGCTGGTAATCTCAACAGGCTGCTTGCTGTCTGTTATCTTCCAAGGCAAGCGACTAGTCAATAATTAAAGATGAACATGCAGATTTATTTCAAATTATATAATCAAATCATCGTCTCAAACATCTAAAACTGCTTGTGATATTATTATACTTCAATCAACTTTATGTTCATAACTTTGTAGAAGCTCTTTCTTCCCTTAAGCACAAGATTTCGGAATAATGAGCAACCGACCAATGGTAGAAAATGTTATGCGAGAGAGTTAGCAAACCCAACTTAAACAACAGAAGAATCGTTAGTCATTACAACACTATTAGGAAGATATAAAAAATATTTTTAAAAAAATTATAACCTCTTTTCACTTTACAATATTTTAAATAAAAATATTAAAATAAATAAAGAAATAAAATAAAAAAATCTGAAAGCTTTCAGATTTGACATTATGCCCAATTATGTCATTGAGTTTGTTAATCAAAAATTCTTTAATGTCTGACAAAATATGAACACATCCAGGATTACTAAAATATTACCTAGAACTGATAATAATATATGAAATAATATATGAAACGTTTTCGTTTACAATTTTATACAAATGTATCGTTACACATAAGATGAAAGTTAGCTTATTAGTATATCTATCTCTATATTTATTAATTTATCATTACTAATTATTAATTATTATTATTATTACTTATTATTTATTTATTATTAATAATTATTATCTATATATTTGTTAATTTTCTGCTAGAGTAATTCTATTTTGAACTGAGATTTAAAAAAAATATGAATTTCCTGCTTGTTTGAGTAATTTCTCTAAACTAGCTGATTAAAATTTCAAGAAATTTTCACAAATTGTGTAAACATGGCATCCACATAATTTTAGAAACGATAATATAACAGAATATCTCAGAGGTTTAGCCTATAATTATGAAATGTGACTAATTTGTTGTATTTGATACTGGTATAAGTTTCTAACTAACTATATGTAATTTTTTATGTCCCATATTTGTAAACAGGTACAGGTAGAAGCTGGGCAAGCACCTTTCTAGTACTATAGGTAATTGAGGTATTACTGAACTTAGTTAACAGTTAAGCTTCCGTTCCAATTTTGAGAAAGAACACCCGGGGAACGGTCCGAGGGTCTCCCACCTTTCTTTCCCTACCACCAACCTGTCGAGAAGACTTTCGGCTTGCGATGTGTTTTGAGTGCTCCCCGCCGCACGGACACTATGAACCAATCTATGCCTATCCGAACACTTTCCATGCCTTGTCCGAGACTCGAATCCCAGCAGTACTGCAGTTACTGCAGTTAGTGTCACTAACCGTTATAAGGACTAGGTGGCCATTTTTGTAAACAAGAAAGCATATATTTTATAATTATTCATATATGTTATAAGCAACCTTTATTAGGTATTTCATTTCTGCTTGACGGTAAAATTGCCCTCGGCAAATCAACTGCTTGCGAATTGCCCTGAAAGAATGATGGCAGAAAGTCCTAGAACCAATAACTTTATAAGGTATTTCTCCCGCCTTCCTATCGTGCCTTCGTGGTGTAGTGGTTCTGCACTCTGGGCCGTTATTTCAGAGGTCCGTGGTTCGATTCCCGGCGAAGGCGGTTGCTAATTTTTTCATCCTGCCTGCTTCCAAAAATACTAATGTCTCTATAGTGGCGCCTGAACTAAAAGAGTGTTGGATAATGATTCTCCTCACCCAGGATTTGGCGATTGGGTCCCCTAAAAACCCCAGTCGCCCTTTAAAAGGGGGAGTATATAAGGTATTTCTCCCGTCTTCCTAGCGTGCCTTCGTGGTGTAGTGGTTCTGCACGCTGGGCCGGTATTCCAGGGTCCGCGGTTCGATTCCCGGCGAAGGCGGTTGCTAATTTTTCATCTCTCTTGCTTCCAAAAATAACCCAATGTCTCTACATCCTAATTAATGTAGTAAAATTCATATGTTGTCTCAGCATCGTAGTGTGCTATGTCTCATAGGTGTCTCAGCATCGTAGTGTGCTATGTCTCATAGGTGTCTCTACACGTAGTGTGTACTTGCAGGAATACGCTCTGTGCCCCTTTGTTGGCGCTAAGAGGGCCATGGGTGGTAAGGGAGTAAAAAGCCGCGGTTTATCTTGAATAACAGAATATACATTAATACATGAAGAGCTAGCTGCTTTAATCAAGAATCTTTGCCATAACTTTACTTTTCTTTCATTAAAACTTATTATTAAGACTTGATGTTTCATTTAAACTCCTTTTAAATATTACCTTTATTACCAAATTACCGGTATTTCAGAGGTTCGTGATTCGATTCCCGGCGAAGGCGGTTGCTAATTTTTCATCTTACTTGCTTCCAAAAATCCTAATGTCTCTACAACTTGTTCCATAAAATCTGTAAATTAAATTAAACTGATGTACATATTTTGAAATCCGTATATTTCACAGTTTTTTATGTAATCTTAATCTTAAATCTTAAATCCTAAAGAGTCCTTTATTCTATCCTTGACAGCAAACAATTTAACAAAGCCTTCTTTTAACTACCAAAACATTATGAAATAGTCATTGCCAGAAATGAAATAGAAACTTCTGTTACCGTCTCAAACATTTGCAAATAATAAATATGAGATTCTTTTCATTGATATAAAGTTTGACATATAACTTTTATTTAATTGTTCAGTTAAACATTATCTAGAAATATTGCGTTTATAAATGACTGAAATTTAGGTTATTATTATGTATAGCAAAATGAATAACAAATAAATTCATATTCAAAAATCAGTAAAATATTGTTTTCCAGGAAAACTGCTTTAAAATATTTTCTTACCTCTTTTGGTAATAATGCTCGGGATATCTCAGACGATTTCGCATCTCAGCCATTGGTAATTATTTGAAGACGTGACAAACAATATATTATCAGAAACATTAGCAAAATAAAAAAAAACTCAGCATTCTTTTAAGCTGTATCCTACTGTTGTTTGAAACTTAAGAATTTTCGAAGCTCTCATTATGCTTTTTGGAACTTAACTTTCATTAACCATGTGTTGTCATGGCTACGAACTCCTTGGAACTGATAAATATTAATAACCTAAGTGCTTAAACCATCTGTTTAGAAATGATTGATTATTTAAAGTGCTTTACTTTTCGTCTGTATCCAAATGTTTGTACATTTGCATTCTTGCTTAAAGATTCAAGTCATCTGAGTGAATGTTTCCGCTTCATGTTTCAATATTTGCTCACGTTTTCGTTGTTGATTTTGTCAATTACTGTTTTGTTTTTCCACTAGAGAAATTCTTGCAGTGGTTTCGCGTGATAGAAGAAGGGGACCGGGATACAGGTTCACGGATGACATAATGTGTTTTAAATCACGCAAAACTCCCCAGCATAAGCAAAATAATTTAAATATTGTTTTTGTAGAAAATACTGATACCTCGCTTAGGTCTAATGTAGTTAAAAAATGTGATAGATATAACTATTAGTTAATTGCAAAGATTTCCATTTTGAGAATGAAGGTATTCGTTAACAAAATTTTCCACATTTCTAACAAAAAGGAATTTTGCTAGTTTTGATGATTAAGGAAGGAATAACTGTCCTCAGCAGAGATGTCACAAATATTACGTTAATTTAAGTTCTAAATCTACATTTTTAAGTAAATAATTGTATCATCGAAATTTAATTGATGCCTTATTAACTCACTCTTTTAAATTCGATCGGGGATGAGGGGACCCAGTCGTCAGACCCTGGTGGTGCGAATTATGGTAAACCACCTTTTAGTTCGGGAGCTACTTGTAGAGTCATGTTGGTCTCTCCCCCCCCCTTTTTTTTATCAGTCCGAAGGGGGTTTGTCTCCGAAGAACTATTGTTTCCATTATCCAATTTTGCGTTGAATCACTATAAATGTCCGTTTCACTTTTCAAACTGTTGCCACCAAATATTAGAGTCCAGGATTATATTTGAAGAAATTAAATAATGAAAAATCTGCATAAATGTATGTCTATTTCTCGCATTGTGATAAAACAACGGTACATAGAGCCATCGGATTTTGTATGACGTGATCCTCCTACGAATATGGGCATGTGGAAGACCAAATTTGAAATTTGGAATTTGTTTAATTTTCGATTTCATATTTTGTAAAACTTTAACGAATTTTTGAGTAACAAACTCAACGATTTGAAAGCGAGCAATGGCAACACTCTTCGGGGGGGGGAGGAAAAAAACCTTTTTATCTCCAGCTCGCCTAACTGTACATCGGAAATTCTATAGATATGCTCATTTTTAAATTATTTTGCGACATTGCTATTGAACTGAATTTTATTTATTTTATGATTTAAGTGAAAAGTACATGATATTTAATAAATAATGGTAACACACAAAACGTTAAAAAATAAAGTAATAGTTAAAAAAAAAACGCCCCTTTGGACGTAATTTAAAATCTGAAACTTTTCAGATTTTTTGTGTTTCTTTTATACCGTCCACTCGTTTATTTATTTATTTTTTTAAGCAGGAGGCGTGAAAAATGTGCATGCTTTCACCGGTACTCGAACCCTGGACCTCTCGAATATGTATCGATTGGGCTTTCAGTTACACCATGGCAGCATACAAGAGGACGTAGAAAATACCTTATAACGTTTAAACTTGTTACACCGGATAGAGGTTTTCAGCCAGCTCAGATTTAGTATGTCGAGGACGGAGTCGCCCCCTCGGAACCGAAAGTGAAACTTTCGTTTGGCAGGCACCGGCCGCTGTGACCGACAGGGAAATTTCCGTTTTGCAGGCATAAGACACTAGGCACCGACAGTTTCAAAGTTAAAAAAATAAATGTTGTACTTTCAATGAAATTTATGAAAACTTATAAAAATTATTTATTATATTTATCAAAAATTATTTATTTTTTATTTATTTTTGTTGGCACCATAGACGTTCGTAAAAGACACGATATATAGCTGATTGTCTTTTGGATCAAACTATTCATTTTAGTCACTGGTTTCGTTAGCACTTACGCCACAGCTGTCATTGTCAAGTTCCATTGCCTGGTTTAATGAATTATCTTATTCCAACGATGACTCGGCAACGTCGACGTCTGGATGAAATAATTCACCCAATCTATCACCACCTCCTCCTCTTCCGAATATTTTCGGTCTTATAGGCAACAAATACTTTCAAAATTAAGCCACAATTTTCTATTCACAAAGCTTCTCTACATTTCCATTATTTTTTATAAATTATCGTCTCTAGGACATCGCCTTTGTGCCGTTCGTATACCTGTGGCGTCGTTATACCTGTATACCTGTGGCGAAACATAAGGAGATAAAACGATGTAGTCCTCAGTTCATCCACCACAGTTCATCCACCTCAGTTCATCCACCACAGCGGTCAATTGTTGCCGGCTGAATGGAGAGGACAGCAACATCCATTCTAAGCGAGTTAATTAAATTCTGTAGTCTTTGACTACAAGTCTGAGTTTTAAATTTGAAATTAACTATTACTTTATTTGTATCGCTACAATTTGTGATTGCGGCCCGGACGGTACATGGTTAGGACAGTTTACTACGATACCAAAGGGACCGGATTCGAATCTCGGAGAAGACATGGCTGTTTGTAAATGTCTTTGCAGCACGGGGAGATACTCTAAATATATGGCAAGCCGAAAGTCCTATTGCAGGGTTTGGTGGAAGGCGAGAGGAGTGGAGACATCCCCCCCCGGAGTGCACTCCCTCAAAATTGGTGTGTAAAATAGAAGTCCAACCTCTCCTTGAATATGGCTCTGGCAACCATTCTTCCATGTAATGTGGACACGACTACAACAAGAAGTTGTGGTTGATTCTGTTAGCATTAAGTTCTGTTTAAATACAAAAGTGTGTTTAAACCTTTTCAAGTTTGCTCAGTTTTTTCAGACATAGGGACAATTTCGCTTTAAGTAGGTTAGAGTTTGGATAGTTTAGCATTACCAGTTCAAGTAAAACACTACAAGCTTATTCACTTTAAAATTTTACTCGTCTATTTTATGACGATTATTATCCGACGATGATGGATCTCCCTCCTAGTCATGTAAGGATTTGTAAGCGCTTTAATTTTTACCACGATATTTTCGACAACAATGTTTTTAAACTATAAAGTTTTTGAACCGCTCTAGTTTCTACGACGATATTTTGTACCACGACTTTCGTCGGCAATGTTTCCGGCGGACACCAACATTCAAGACACTTGGAAAACGTTTTGTCAAAAACCTAGTAAAGAGGCTATGGCAAACTTCAGACTGCAAACAGGCCACGACTGCATGGCACATCATCTTAATAAACTTGGCATCCTTCCATCTAGTATATGCCAAGTTTGTAATTCGGGCATCATAAATGCAAAGCATCTTCTTATATGCACAGAACTAGATAAAGAGCCTCAGAAACGTCGTGAGAGAGGTATACTATACTAGGATGCCAGAACTTTCATGAAATCCTTATTAAGACTGCACTTATGTTCCTTTCCTTGTTGTTTAAATTTTTAACTTTTTACTTTTTTTCCCATGTTTCGGTTCTGGTTCTTACTTAAAATGTCTGTGCTTTTTTATTGTATGTTATTGTTCTTGTGTGATACTTAAGCTGTTTTGTATGTTTGGATTGATCCTTCCAATGAAGCCAAATGTAACAACAATATTTGCTTATTATGCAGATTTAGCGAAAGTTACAGGCTATTTGTTCCTATGTTTTTTTTTCCTTTTAATTACTTTTCATATACAGGGTGATTCTAAATTGTTTTTACAGATTAAGATGGGTGATAGTACTCATCCAGATGAGCAATAGTTACCATAAAACATAGAGTTGTATTCCACTCTGAGGGGCAGAAAAGAGGACTATTCAAATTCCAACCTGAACTTGCAACAGTGTTGGGACAGCGAATGAAAGAGACCAAAATCTGCGCAATCAGTTTTGTGAAAAACTCACAGAGAGTGCACAAAACGGATAAGACCGAAAACTTGGCATTCGAATGTTATTCGAGCTCAGACTTTGATGGCTTCTTTGGTTCGCAAGATGTCAACCTCGCAAACGATTGCAACAGATTAATTATCTAATCAAGGGCTGAATATTATCAACTAACTCCCAACTCAAGGTAGGTTTGATACTACCAAGGTAGCAGTTCTTTTCCCCTTCACCATATTCTATCCTGTCCTGCTGCTGGACTTACTGGGCTGCGCTCATTCTACTCGAAGCGCCCTTCTATGGGACACGAAGTCCTAACAGCCGGACCACAGCATGAACTTTTCATTTTAATCACGGCATGTAGCATAAGTTGGAGTTAGCTGATAATATTCAGCCCTTAATTAGATAATTAACTTATTGCAATCGTTTGCGAGGTTGAGACCTTGCGAACCAAAGATGTGCGTTTGAGTGTTAGCCATCAAAGTCTGAGCTCGAATTAACACTCGAACGCCAAGTTTTTCGGTTTCATCCGTTTTGTGAACTCTTTTTGAGTTTTTCACTAAACTGATTGCGCAGATTTTTGGTCTCTTTCATTCGCTGTCCCAAAACTGTTGCAAGATCAGGTTGGAATTCGAATATTCCTCCTTTCTGCCTCTCAGAGTGGAATGCGACCCTATGTTCTATGGTAATTGTTGCTCATCTGGATGAGTACTATCACCCCTCTTAATTTGTAAAAGCATTTTAGAATCACCTTGCATATATATTAATGATTCGGTGGTGTAGATAATTTACTAATTGCCAACTGCGTGCATAGACTTATAGAACCGTGTAGATAGAAATGATGGACTGGCAGACAGACGTGTCGTAATTCAACATAATTTTATTATTGGATAAAGCATTTTCGAAGACACAATATTTGCTTCACACAGAATTTAATTTTCTGTGCACTATTCAGAGCCAATTTTAAAAATCTTAATCCATCCTCAAACAATGGACGATACAGCTAACCCAGCGGCACGATTTGTAAGCATAAATGATATTTATTAACAAAGAAAATGATACATGGTCTTTACCAGCAAATTCTTAGATTAACAATAAATTCATTTCCAAATTTACTACCCCATATATCCCAAATTTACTTTTAAATCCGATTTAAAAAAAATAGTATTTCATGTAAACTTTATAAATTTGTGAATATTCAGATACTTGTTTTGAAGAAACAGGGCAATGAGTTCAGTCATCGGGAAAAATTTTTAATCGTAGATGAAAAGCCAATATTTTTAATTTACACACATTACTGTAATATATTTACATATTTTATTCTTGCTATATTTTTAAGACTTCTCTATAACTTTCTTCTCCCTCGGTATAAATGCATGGTTTGCAGTCGGATGAAAGTGTCTGATTATAAATCCAATCTATGAAGCTGGATACCCGGGTATATACTCCTGGAACATGGGGTAATGCACAGCGACGTCCAAAAGAAACGAGGCCACACAACACATACTCGTTGTCCAAACGCACGACAAGCCCACTACCAGAATCTCCCTATGAGAAAAGAAAAAGAAATTAAAAGAAAGAATTATGTATTCATTTTACAAATAATATTAACTCTTTTTTTAATCAAAAAGGAATCATTTTCTTCAAAAAATCTTCTTAGGATCATTTTACAGTTAATACATTATTCTGTAAGCAGATTTCAATAATTCTTTGATTTCTATTTCGCTAAGTCAGCATCTCAACATTCTTACATAAAAAAGAAATCAGATATCAGAGACATTTTGTAATGAATTTCTAGTTCATTGACGTAGTGGATTCTCAGTTTTATACACTCATATGTACCGTAGGAAAAACTTACGAAATCATGTTTCTTGAGTAGGAAGAGCATTGAAAACAAAAACATGGCAGTTTTGATTATTTTTCTTTTAATTGTTAAGATTTCCAAGGAAATCACTAATTCCGTTTTGAGATTAATAGTTTTGAAATAATGCCGTCAAAACGGCATTCTGTGCCGTTTCACTATAACCGGTAAATCAATTTTAAATTGTTGCCACCAAATATTAGAGCCCTGTATTATAGTTAAAGTAACTAAATAATGGTTAATCTGCATGAATGTATGTATTTTACTCGCATTGTGAAAAAACGACGACTACTAGAGCCATCTAGTTTTGAATAGCGTAATTCTCCACCCGAACATGGGCACCTGGAAGGTTGAATTTTGAATTCCGAATTTTTTTTATTATCTATACATATTTTGTAAAATTTAACTAATTTTTGATTAACAAACTCGACAATTTCAAAGCGAGCAATGGCAACACTGTATGAAAAAAAAATATTTTATCTCCAGTGAGCGAAACTGTTTATCAGAAATTCTAAAGCTATTCTCTTTTTAAATGTTTTGTAATTTTGCTGTTGAATTGAATTTTATATGGTTTATGTGCGAAGAACATTATATTTAATAAATAAAGGTAACACACAAAACGTTAAAAAAAGTCCCTTCGAGCGTTATATAAAATCTTAAAGCTTTCGGATTTTTTTAATTTATTTTTCCTTTGCAATTACACCTCAGTGAACATGATTCCAAAAGTTAATACTGGCAAGCATAAATTATTTTTTGTTTCAAAGAATATCTAATATTTCTTCCATGCATGGTTGAACAACCTTATCTGGCCTACTAATAAAATACTAAGAACTAAATACTTAGAAAATACTAAAAAGTTCAATTTAAGATGGTTTCGCGTAATGCTTTTTCAACGCTATGACGATATTATTTCTTAATTCTTATGCTGCAACATCTTTAACCAAGCCTGTGGGTCGAAATGATTACCAACCATTGCTTGTGAGTCACTATTCCATGTCGTATGATTTTTCTAATTACTAATTCAGAATTACTTTTTCAAAAGCATCTACTCACGGCATTTTTGTTTAAAACATTGGATAATGTCTTGAAATTTAGCTGCAGAACAGTAGCGTTCGAGTGAAAGAACTCGACCTGGATCAATTAAAGTTCCATTAACTTCTGTATGAACAATACAAGTGTCCTATACTGTGCTGTGCATTTCTATACTGTGCATTTCCTATTTATTTTCTTGAAAGTGCTGCTTAAACTTTTTCAATCCTTTTTCATATAGTTTCCGATTAACCACACTTTATTTTTTGCATATTATGCAAATATATATATGTGTGTGATGTACCAGCTTTTGTCCGGAATAAATAGATAGGTGAAGAATCATAGATGTAGTCGTAGCTCAAAAGTATCAGACGATAATCAAAATCGTAAAAACAACCTTCTATTTAGCGTAGGTAATAATGAAACACTCAATCGATTTCGAGGGCAGCTAAAGGTCCCTCCATCAGAAGAAAGAAATACCTAGAAAGAAGAAAATAAAGGAGAAGGAGTCTCAGAAACACGTGGTCCTTATCAGCACTGCACATGGTTATACTGGATTTTTAATCAGAGTTGCACTGGCCGCCTACACGGCAATTTAGTTAATGATTTGAAGTCCAATCCAGTCCTTCCTAATGCCTTTAAAATTCTACTATCTTAATTCAGTTATTTTTGCCGATAGATGGCGTTACCTCCTCGCGTTTGGTACTACCAGAGGGTATAAAAATCCGTTCAGTGGTTGCTTTCCATTATTTGAAGTTCAGATTTTGAGCGTAAAGGTGCATTTGCCCCTCGCTCCCTATTTTAACTTCGCTAATTTTTCTTGTCCTTTATTGCTTGATCAGGTAGGCTGGCTCAGTAAAAGTAGGCGGCCAGTGCAACTCTGATTAAAAGTCCAGTTATAACCACGTGCAGTGTTGATAAGGACCACGTGTTTCTGAGACTCCTTCTCCTTTATTTTCTTCTTTCTCATGATGAGGAGGGACCTTTAGCTGCCCTCGAAATCGATTGTTTCATTATACCTACGCTAAATACAAAGTTGTTTTTACGATTTTAATTGTCACATTAGCGTGTTTCTCTTCTAGTCTAGTTATCAGATGATACGTTTAAAAAACGGGATCCATTTATTATTATTCAGGAGAAATAGCAGTTACAAAAAATCATATCTCCGAAGTAAATAAAAAAGAACTACTAATAGCTTTTTGTATGAAGTTTACTGCATCGTTACATTAAAGAAAAGACCCCGATATTCCTTTGCGAGTCCTTTTATAGCCTCTGGAAAGGCGGAGCTTTCCAAGAAATGACGTCAGCCATTCCAGTTCGCTTTAAATATCTCCAGAAAATTCTATAAATGTACGTGTAGAAAAGGCGGAAAAAACAACTTGACTACGGGGCTGTGGATTTAATTCCACGTACTTTCAAATAAGAGACCGTCGCCATTAAAAAAGAAAAGAACATACAGTTAGAATTTAAAGTGTATTTTTGACTATGGAATTTTATTATTACATATATATATATATATATATATGTAAAATATAAAAAAAAAATTACGATGGTTTTGCTTTTCGCGAACACGCAACCTTTAATTTACTTTCTGCAATTCAGGATCTTCCTCCTAGACCAGTACCTTCTAGACTTTGCTAGCCTATTACGTAACCGCTTCTATAAATAACGAATGCGCGCCATTTTGCGTCAGAAGCTTTCCTCTCTCTGTGCCTTAAGGGTCTACGTTACTGCGCTTGCTCTCTTTGTTAGAGTAAGTTATGACGCATTAAAGTTTAAATACTCTTATTAAGTAACGAATAAATGATCTACAGTGATAACTGAATAAAAGCTATGGAATAAAGATGTACAATTAAAAACTAAATCAACTTGCCTCTTCATTTGGATTAGGCTTACCACTCTGCAAAAACCATGCCTGAACTTTGATGCCGAAATATCACATAAATATTGCATATAAAATATCCATGAAAAGAAGAAAGAAATTATCTGAAAATCACATGTTTACTCAAAACAATAATTTAATTCTTTCTTTAATTCTTTTTGTTAGGAAATTTGTATTTCCTTTTGCACCTGTGCAATGCCGAAGAAAACGAGAAGTGCAACTGTATAAATTCCCAGTGGAAGAAGTAGTAGAAGTACTCGAAGCCTAGGAGAAGTTACTAGAAGAATGTTACATGTTATTAGAATTTAATATTTTTGCACAATGAAACTGGAAAACTCAACCAAAGATGCACCAAAAAGCGTAACATTTACGAGATAAAACTAACTGGGAGCCGTTTCAACCATTTTACCATCCGGTTTTTTACCGAAATGTTTCTGCAACAAGTACGCCATTAAAAAAGATAAAAATGACATGTTTTATTTGTCCAAACTGAATTACTTTATGTAAGTATGTAGGATCTGGTCTTCTTTGCTAACATACACTGTAACTAGCTCTACTTAGAAGTCGCGCAAGGCCTAGAAGATGAATGCAACAGGGGAAGGGTGTAAAATACCCTTTTATTGAACACAATAGTTTACAGACGGCACAGACTTACGTGCTTAGACAGTCACCAACCACTTGTAATAAGGAACTTAAAAGGTAATGTACCAAACTAGGTTGAAGGTAAATAGAAGTGCAAGACCACACAATTTGACTTAACCTAGCAGGTTGAGTCAGAAACCTACACCGGCGTGCTACTGATTTTGTCCGCAAGAATGCGAGGCCGAGATTCACAGTTCAATAGCTTGTAGAATTAGCGACGTGCGCTGTCAGTAGCAAAACCACGCTCTGACTAACTTCGGTTTAAATACTCTCTAATTCACCCTAGCTAATTTACATACTGGCGAGGAAATCAGAAGGGAGTAGTGTGTCCAAAACTGAAATGCACTCACATCAGTATATAAATAAGAAAATTTTCTCCAGGACAGAGATTTAATGTCGCAATTTTGCATGCAATGCTCATAGCATTTGCTTTTATCATAAAACACACGCCTGCAACGTAAGAGCAAAACTGTGAAAAAAAAGCTGTTTAAAAAGACTTGTAGAGGCATTAGATTATTTTGATGCTGGAGACGAAAAATATGTGCAGTGTCCTCGCCGGAACTCGAACCCTGGAGCTCTCGAATACGCGCCGAGTTTGCTATCCGTTACACTACGAAGGTATGTTGGGAGGAGGGAGAAAATACATTATATACTCCTCCTTTTAAAGGGTAACTGGGGATGAGGAAACACAATCGTCAAATCATGGTGGTGAAGAATCATCCTCCATCACCTTTTAGTTCGCGTAGTAGTAGTAACTTAAAATTGTAGAGTAACTTAAAATTTTTCAGTGTCATGAAACTGAAGAAATGAGCAATGCCCTCGCCAAGATTCGAACCTGAATCTCTCGAAATGCGTGCCCAGTGTGCTATCCGTTACATCACGGAGGCATGCTGAAGGAGGGAAAAAATACCTTATAGACAGTGCCATAACTGAAAGCATGATCTTTACTAACTGTTACATACTGCATAAATATAAATTATCCTTTTGAATTCGAAAGGTAACTTACAACACAGGCATCTTTACCACTTTCACCTCCTGCACAAAGCATACTTGGCTCGATGACAGTCACAAATTCCGTCTGGCATTCCGTGCTGTTGACGACAGGCAGATCAACAGTTTGTAGAATATCAGGATGACGACCTCCTAAGCCAGAAGGAAAGGTAGTTACGTTATGCAAAGAATTATGTAAACAATCTTTCGTCCAAAAAAGTAAAAAAAACTGTTGAATATAGTAGTAGCTAATCTTCTCCGATTTCAAACACAGCTCTTCGAACTATACGTGGTTCAGAAATATTAATAACTTCAGCTGGTGTTCAGTTTTATTTCATATCTTGTCTTTATTTCATATTCGTGAGCTATTATTCGTAGTTAGACAAAGATTTTGGTAAAGAATTATAAAAAACAAATATTATGTAATAAAATTTCTGGCAACAAAATTATCCTTCTTTCAAAATATCGCACATACTGAAATGATTCTGGATTGAAGAATATGTTTTTGCGCTTGTTACAAGGAGAAATATTCCATTCCATGATTCAAAAACGTTGTGAAAGGAATAATACTAAAACTTCGAAGTGCGAAATAAGCATCATTAATAATCGGAAAGGAAAAAACCGTCAGTTATTACTTCTACGTAGAAAGAAGATTTCAAATCAATACCTCAAAATGGTTCATGCTCTTTCCAATGTTCCTAAAGTTAAATCGTTTGCAACAAGAAAAATCGCAGATGCAGAAATCATTCGCCTTAAATAAATCTATAGCAAAAATAAATAAAATAATAAGACAAAATTTACAGCTTAATACAGCTAAAAAATATTGTTGCGTGTGTACGGGTTCGTAATAAATTGACTGCACAAGTCTGATAAAAAGTGAATAAAATTTATTGAAATGCTATATTATTTTATATAGTATATGTATGATTGCAAAAATGAGCATTGTCAAAAAGTTTATTTGGAGTTATTTCTAATTCATATAACGATTATGTAATTGTCAGCAAATGTAGTCATCAGTTCCTTGCACGTTATCATGGATATGCAATGCACAGTTGAAAAATAATTGAAGTGCATTTTATGCATTAGGCTAGTCATTAAAATTCAGCCACTTACACACAACCTTTGCATTTATTTGTAACTATACTTGGGAATTTAAACAAAGAAATTGAGCAAGTAGCCTTTATGAAATATTTAACATTTTGGGGATAAAATAAAAATGTTTGACTCGTCACAAAACAAATATCAGTAAATGGCATTATAGCATGTACATAAAAGTTATTAAATAAATATATGGATACAAAAATATTTACAATAATAAGATCAAATATATACAACAGATCATTACAAAGAATAGGACTTCTCTTTACACGTTTTTTTTTCCTCTTTAGCTTTTAGAATCGCCATAGTCTGGATAGAAGTGATTTACTTAATAGCCACTACCTTTCTATAATTTTCCGTAACTAAAAACGAAAAGAGTATGAGAGACACAAAATACGACACTGAAACGCAATCGTCACATGAAAGGAAACGTCACTTTCGCCAATCTGAGCGATAACTGTTTGGCTTTTAGCCTGTTTACCAAGTGAAGATGGTAACCGGATTTCGTGGAAGCTCACTTCCCATAATTGTTCCTTCTAACGTTATGTTTCGGCAACAAATATCGTATCTGATAGCAAGCCGAAACATAAGCCAAAACAATCACATTATAGACTAGAAGAGAAACACACTAATGTGACAATCAAAATCGTAAAAAACAACCTTATATTTAGCGTAGGTATGATTCTAGCAGGGACTGTAGCCATGTGTGATAACCTTTTAAGTATAATATTCAAAGATGACTTATTATGCCTAAGTGGGCTGTGAATTTCTTGAGGCGGGCAACAAACTATGATAGTTACTTTCTCATCCTTTCACAAACATTATTATGACTAGAATTGCATTCTCGATATTAATTACCCGGGATACCTACGCTAAATATAAGGTTGTTTTTTACGATTTTGACAATCACATTATGTTTCAGCTACGCTGGACTTGACGTCGAAAGGGACAATTCTCAGAACCAGCACAATTCCAGGAAACCCACGTAGCTAGGTTACCTTTTTCACTTACTACAAAGACTTGAACGCCAAACACTAATCGATTATCGCTCAGATTGGAATCACGTAAGGCTTCAGAAGCAGAACTTTCGTCTGATTGGTTGTCTCTACCCGGGATTGAGGTCCAGCCGAGACATTTTCAGTGAGGTTTGAAAAAATCTCGCGTAGCCGTAGCTGTAACTTCCGTAAGCTAGGCGGGATTTCTGCTTCAGGCGGGGCTCTTTTTTTTTCTAGGAATCCACCAGTTTAAACCAGTGCTACCAGAATCTCGTTTCTCAGAAAAGTCTGGTCTAGCAGGGACTGTAGCCATGTGTGATAACCTTTTAAGTATAATATTCAAAGATGACTTATTATGCCTAAGTGGGCTGTGAATTTCTTGAGGCGGGCAACAAACTATGATAGTTACTTTCTCATTCTTTCACAAACATTATTATGATTAGAATTGCATTCTCGATATTAATTACTCAAAGCATTAAATAACTTTTCATTTTTCTGATTTCCGATCCGGTACTTACCGTAGGTCAGACGTCCCCAACCATAGACAGCTACAGTGGTCCCGGGTTCCAATTCCAGAGATGAGGACGGCAGCCAGGCAGCTCGAACTCCGGAAGACCAGTCAACGGGTTCTTCGAATTCGATGACAGCAATGTCACTGTGAAATTTACCAGGTATATAATCTGGATATTTGGTGATATTGCGAACTGTGTGGAAGTTGTCTTGTCTGACCTCCTGCAGATTATAATCACCTATGTCTACAGCAATATGTTCCGCAGATCGTCTAGAAGGGATAAATTAGACAGAAACTGGCTACTTTAAATCACCACAATGTCTCAAGATATATTTCTCATAATTGTCGAAGGCTAGTATTTACTTCCAATGCATTACCGAGACTTTTAAATTATCATCCATTGCAAACTTCTAAGGATGTTATTTTTATTACTATACAGAAATAGCCTAAAGAAATAGATACAGTAAATGCTTATGAATCGACAAATGTTTGTTTTTATCAGAAAACGTTTAGTACCATTTTATATATCGTCAAGTCTTCAAGTCTTCTTTATTTATTTATTCTAAAATGGACGTCTACTTTGCTTAATAGTGTTTTAGAAGATTACTGTACATTAATTTAGAAGATTACTGTACATTAATTTAGAAGATTACTGTATATTAATTTAGAAGATTACTGTATATTAATTTAGAAGATTACTGTACAATAATGGAGTCTGTATTAATGAATTCCAGTGCAGTATAAGACCATAAAGAGCTTTTACGAAGGCATCACGACACTCATTGATAAAGTCATCGCGATATTTTCTCATCGCAACATTTTGCAAATATGTGATTAAAATGACTTCAAAAGAATGAATTCTTTCTCGTTAAGCTTGGAGAACGGCTGTCTCCTTTTTATGGTATAAAATGAAGTTGCTACAGTAATTGCGAACTTTACACAAACAATGAAGCAGCTGAACCAAGTAATAAGCAACTAGTAGCGAAGTAGTCGCACTTTGTATTCACTGTAAAGAAACCACCTTATAAAGCAATTTATTTTTCCTTTCAAAATTATCCTCCAAAGTAGTTACAAAAGCATAATCTCGACAAACGAATCGTACATGCTGCACAATTGAGGCACTAATGATCTTAGCCACACAATTCTTGGCACATCGAAAATTGCAAATATTTGATTCGAAATATCTTTCATAAATCGAAAACCTCGTATGAGTTGCAACCGAAAATTTAGGTTTGTGCAATCCTTTAAAGCAAGGTTTTCCAATCTGTGGTCCATGGACCGCATGAGTCCTAGAAACCTATCGTTGTGGTTCTTCTAAGTTCTCAAAAAAGACAAAAAATAAAATTTTAGTTCACTGCGTATACCACACTATAGCTTAAAATCTCACAGTCTGAAAATTATACATGGCAATCGTCTATCAATTTTTCACTCAAGACTGGTACTTTATGAAATTTATTTCCGATTACCCTACCAGCAAACATCCCCATTCTAGCTCCTCTTAAGCGCGAGCAAGTTTTAGACAACTTTCCGTAAACCTAGAATGGCAACCAGGCTGTTTCGAGTTACTGAGCTTGCGGCTAGCAGAGCAGCAGTGTGTTTTACTTTGTGACAGTTTTGGTTTAGTTGGTAATGGCAAAGCACATTAAGGCTCTCTGCCTGCCTAAGGGAAGGGATGCCTTCGTGGAGGACTTTCTACGGGAAACTGGCTCGTATACACGTTATACATGGGGAAAACCACGAAAACGCCCATGCAATCATCCCATTCGCCTGGAATTTAACCCAGGTCGAAACTACCAGTTTTCAGGGATTTTATCGCTCGACCGCTCAAAATTGTGACAGAGTTGAAGCTTCGGCAGCAAGCTAAAGAGGTGAAGATTTCATCTGCCGAAGGACAAATGCCTTTATGGTCTGTTTTTGTCGTCTCTGTGACCAGCTCAGGATTTCATCAATATCTTTCGATGTGCGTAAATAAAATCTGTGTTTATAAAATCTGTGTAAATAAAATCTGTGCTATGTAAGAATCGGCAGGTTGATTAATTCTGAGTACCAACATTCATTTAATTTGTAGTTACTAATGTAAAAATTATCCAAACTTTAGTAGCCTGAAATTATTAAAATAATTAAATAAGCTATCATCTTCATGTGTAATTCGGTTCTCATCAGTGCACTTATGTAACATTCCTCTAGAAATATATGTAAAATATTTATTTCAAATCATTCCAAATCTCAAACCTAAGTATATTTTTAATCCATAAGTTTGAAAAAAATAATAGCAGGTTGTTATGTACAGGACGCAGTATGGTATTTTATATCACTTTTATTTACTTTAGAACAATACTCCATGCTTTCTAGAACATTGCAGCACATATTCATATATTTTGAACAAAATTTTGATAGAAAACAAAATGACTATTATTTCCAAAATTTTAGAAATTTGTACATTTCTAAGAGAAATAAAGGAAATACATTTCTGAAATTTTATGCGTTTGTAAATTTGGGTCCAGTTTGATCAGAGTGATTTGCAGGTAGAAGAAATTAAGATTCTAAAATTAGATAAAACTGCAGAAAAGGTTACCCACCAGTGATGCATGAGGCTACAAACACAAACGTTTTTGTGACACACTGGTGGATCAAGAGACCCAAAAATCCAAACCTATCACGATCCGCCGATGGGTTACGCTGCAGTTAAGGTCTTAAGAATATGTTTGTTAAGAAAGATGTCTTAGACATCACCTCCAAAAGTGCTGTTACATCAGACTGTTACTAAAAGCAGTATTTTACTAAGCGTTGCCTTTGCGTACTGTGTGGCTATTTTACTTTGCTTAATTCTGTCTGCAACTATAAACAAAACAATGTCTATCAGAAATTATATGTGCCGCCCAATTTGGATCTTGGATCATTCAATTATGGCAAAGCACACGAGGGCTATCTGCCTAAAGGGAGGGATGTCTTCGTGGAGGACTTTCTAATGGAAACTGGCTCGTATACACGTTACACATGGGGAAAACGTATGTACCGCCCAAACGGGATGGTGGTTAGTGACTCTGACTACTGTACCGAAGGGCCCGGGTTCAAATCCCGAAGAAGGCATGGATGTTTGTAAATATATATAGTATCTTTGTGGCATGGAGGTCACTCTAAATATATGACGAGCGGAAAGTCCTTTCGCGTGGGGATTGGTGGTAGAGGAAAAGGGGTGGGAGGCCCTCGTACCCATCCTCCAGAGGGGAATAGAACTATTCACAACGTTTCACCGTCGGAACGTTTCGCCGTCAAGACATATTTTTTCTTTGCACAACTTTATTATATCTTTCCGTATTATATTAAGTTGATTTAGTTTAATAATTCTGTTTAGTTTAATAATTTAATTTAATAAACATTTAATATATAACAATGTATAAGATGTTTTGTGTAAAATTTTATACAAATACATCGTTACACATGACATATTAATTTTAAGAGAGTAAAGTGTGGACAAGATTCCAAAGTAATTCCGTTTCCCATTCAGATTTCATAAAAATGTGAATTTCCTGCTTGTATGAGTGATTTCTCTGACCTAGCCGATAAAAATTTCGAGACATTCGAATCGTGTAAATATTGCACCCGCGTAATTTTGAAATCGGTAATATAACTTCTGTTATATCAGAGGTTTAGCCCATATTTTCTCTGATACTGACATAATTTTCCAACTAACTATGTCTAATTTCTTTCTATCTCATACTTGTAAACAAATATATATATCAGAAACAAGAAACTTTTATTAACTTTTATCAAGAAATTTTTATTAAGTACACGAAAGGTAAGTGATAAGTGACGGAGGACGTGGGCACTGTCCCTTTACCTTAATGGTTAATAAGTACAGCACCACGTCCGTCATTATCCAGAGCCGCCGATGGGGTTCGCTGCATACGAAAGGTAAACAGAATTATTAAACTAAATAAATTTAATATGAGCATAATACGGCAAGATATAATACAATCACGTAAAGAAAATATGTCTTGATATATATATTGAAAATATTGTATTGAATATATATATGTATTGAAAATATGTCTAAAGAAAATATGTCACGTAAAGAAAAAACGTCTCGACGGCGAAACGTTCCGACAGCGAAACGGCCACGATGAAGTAGCGACGGCGAAAAGTCCTAGACCCCCCTCGGGTCTCAATATATATACTCTCTCAAAATTGGGGTAGAGCCGGGCGAAATCGTGTTGTGACCTATATGGTGCTATAAACCTATATGGCATATATGGTGCTAAGGCTGTTGCCAACAACATAAGTAATGTTGCAGTCCTTGCCACAATAAATTTCGTCAGTTTGTTCTGAGGATTAGGTCATAGAAGTGAGATTAGTCACAACAACAAGAACAAGTAAATATATAGATGTAATGGGTATTTCATATTACGTGTACGAAAAGTTTCAGTATCTCTTCTAAATCCAACAACCTCTTTGAAATTAATATATATTAATTTCATTTTTTTAAAGAAAAGTATCCGGATATTTTTTACTTTAATGAACAAAAATTTAAAACCGTAAATAACAGATATAAAGCTAACGACTTACTCTTTGACGCAATGTGCAGCAGTCAATACATGCCGATCAGATACAAGAGTAGCTCCGCAAAAAGGCTGAGAACGCATTATTCTGGATTGCTCGGCCTCTACTTCAGCATCCAGTAAACCAATCTGTAAGAAAAATATACATAACATTACCATATTTATTCGCATATACCCTCCTAACTGTTTTAGGATATAATGTAAATATTTTTGATTAACTGGTGTAAATGTTTTTTCACATAATGTCCAATTTCTGGAATTCCTGGATGTTTTATATAAGCAAATTAGTGCTCTTAAGTCAAACCTCAAAGTCGTAGAAAGCGCTGTTACCTTGGAATTAGAAAGGGTGTAATGTTCCAACCTAGAGTTTACAGCTTAATGTGTGAAACCTTAAAAACTGGTAAGCGAATAATCGCTTAGTTGAGAAAGATAAAAACGTAAACGCACGAAGGGTTAATTAGTCTTTATTATTCAAAATAAATTTAACAGTTGACTCCTTCTTGGAGTTTACAACACAGCCTCCACTTGGGCTTGAACTCTTAACGCTAAGAAATAAAACGTAACTAAAATGATATAGTCGAAGCTTAGTATCAAAATTCTACAAGAGTTGGCCCCTTAACGCTAACTAAACGGCGAAGCTATCAAGGGTTTGATAATATGATCGAGCATAGAAATAGCTTTACAGAGAGTAGCCAAAAAGGAGAACGCGCGCTGGCCAGAATCTCTGACTCTCTAACGAAGTTCGAAGTTAAATACTTTCTCCTCCTTCATTTGCATTGAACCGCGATTCTGAAAACACGTTCTGGAAGGGAACTGAAAGCTGAAATTAAATTTCTCCCACTTTGCTAGCGTCCTTCGTGGTGTAGTGGTTCTGCAAACTGGGCTGGTATTCTAAAGGTCCGCGGTTCGATTCCCGGCGAAGGCGTTGCTACTTTCTCATCTTCCCTGCTTCAAAAATATACCTAATGTCTCTACAGTGTATTTAACTCAAAATTAACTGTTCAAAACTTATTATAAACCATACAAGGGAAACAGAGCTTCGAGCACAAACTAAGCGTCTAAGCGAAAGCTTTTTCCGATCTAATACATTAGATAGTAAACGTGTAGAGTCTCACCTTCTTTGCTATCATAAACTAACTTGAGACTCGAGCTGAAGCTCAGCGACATATGGCTATGTTTAGTACGAAGACAGAGGGGGAAAGTCTGATGTGTACACCACATGACTCCTTTGCACAAAATATTAAAGTACACGCGTTTATTTTTGCATTTCATTTAAATTTATTGGATTTAATTAAATCTACTACGTCGATAGCGCATAAACCACAATAGAATAAATGCACTATAGAAAAAATTCACTATATTTGTTTACCGTAGCGACACTCTAGTGCTAGGTTCACATAACAGCGTTATATTTCGTTCATATTATAACTCAGAATGCACAAAATTTATATCACTTGCAGAATTATCTAATCTTTGTCACATGTTCTGTTCAAATACTATAATAAATCTAGAACGATGTATAAAAGAAACTAAGCAAACAAAACAAAAAAGGAACAGTTTTTCACAGACGATTCAGTATTTCTCATTTAATTAATTCTGTTCTCACTTCGCGACAAGGCAAAAAATACATAAAAACTCAAAATATCTATATTAAAAATGCGAAGTAAATCTTAAACTCTTATTTCCCCGAAAAAATTCCAGAAAGTATTAAGCATGATTTAATTCGCAATAATAAATGAAGGCGTCATCTTTATTGTTGTGAAGCTTAGTCTCTCTAGATTGGCAACAAATCAACTATTCTGCTGTTTCAAATGTAAACAAACATTTCGGCCATTTTATTTAAATATTAGGCTTAACCGCACTTAAACAGCTTTTAAATTGTTAATTCTATAAATATTGCTTGCAGAATTCCTAAAAGCATAAAAACATTAACCGGAAGATAAGAACAATATGATTCAATCATTTTTTAAAGCAAAAAATTCACAATTTACAAACATATAAGAGTAAAGAAAGAGATCACTGAGCCGGATAACAGAGGGGATATATATATAAATATATTTATATGCGTTTATTGCGGCCGATTTCAACAAAAGTACGAGAGGCACATCTACATGTTATAGCAGTCCTATGTACAAAATTTCAATGTTTTGAGACTACTCGTTTTTGAGTTATGCGAGTCAGTAATTTAACAAAAGGTCCTTCTTGTGCTTACAAAACCAGCCAACATCTATGGGGTAACTTAAAATTAAGGAATTAAGTCGTAAGTAGCCAAATGCTATACAGAATGACTATTGTGCAAGATGGCTCAAACCTAATACAGGCGTGAGAAGCCTAATGGCAAGAATAACGTGACAGATTGCAGTCAAGAATTTCAATTAGTAACGTGGCTTTCATCAGGCAGAACACGCTCTGATTAAACAGCCTAAAACCTTCATTTAAATACTATCTCTTTCTATCTCCTTTGAATACGCGCGAATTAAAAATCTGCATTCTGGCAGAAAAACTGAAAAGAAGATTCGCAATAAATGTAATGAACATAAAATAACTGATTCTCCCATCAATAAAATTCCAAAGTTCCATACTCAAAGAGACCCATTCCGGACATGAATTCCTGGGGTATTTACAGGATTCCTTGCCAATGTGGCTTAATTTACATTGGCCAAACTAAGAGAGGCTTGAAATTTCGCGTTAAGGAACATGAGGCATATGTTAGAAAAAAGGAAACACAGAAGTCTTCTGTTGGCCCAACATTGTTGGTCCGAAAATCACACTTTCAATTTTTCTGCTGCCAAAAATTATTCAAAAAACATCTTCCATTGGTGAACTGGATTTTCTAGAAGCATTTCACATTCAAAAAAATCCTTCTGTTTTAATTAACGACCCTAATTCCAATCCATCTTTGCCTTCAGCCTTTAAAGAAATTAGTTTTTAGTTCTGGTTTCATCAACAGATGGCGCCGGTAGCTTATCTCCTGTTCAGGCTTTCTTATCTTATCTAATCATTATATCTTCGTTCATTTGCGCTTTTGCAGCTGAGGATGATGGTTCGGTAAAACCATCGAAACTAGTCCTGTGAAAATTTGACAATAAAACGCTGATTTTTGTTCTTTGACTTCTAAATTAATATTTGTTCTGCGTGTTATTGTATCTTAATTATAAAATAACTGCTTAGAAAAATAAATAAATCCTTACAAACGAACAAGAGTAAATTTCGCATTTCGTAGAACAGCAAGAACGATAAATTTTCAACTTGTCTTTAGGCTATATTCGTAAAAGCAGCGAAGTGTGAGAAGTCTTTACACTTCGTAGGAATAATATCTCTTCCCCAAAAATCGGAAAGCATTTTGCAAGAGGCAAATGTTACCCTAATAATGTTCTTTCTCCGGACATCAGTTACAACAGCACAATACGTCAGTTTATAATAGCACTTTAATTATCTTGTATCGTCTTCTCGTTTCATGACAGAGAATTTCGGGTAGTATTGAAATAAGGTGTTCATGATTGTGAACATATCATTGTCTGTTAAAGTAAGTTAATGCAGTTTCTAACTATTTTGAAGCAATGGTAAAGCGAGGTTGCTGCATAATTTAAACTGCAAATGTTACAATATACCGAAATGAATGCTGCCAATCTCACAGTAATATAATTCGAAGCTGAAATAAATCTGATTAGGTCTTGGGAAAATATAAAAATTTCCTAGCAAGGTCAAATTCATAAATGAGAGTTGCTCGTGGAGCTTATAGTGTCTCACACTTTGTTTGGTAACATAAACTACTAGAGGCTTTGGAAGACTTAAAGTGAATTGTCGTTATGTCTTGTAAATTACAACAGAGACGTGGAAAAGGTGTATTAGGCTTTGGGAAAATATAAAAATTTACTAGCAAGGTCAAATTCATAAATGGGAGTTGCTCGTGGAGTTTATAGTGTCTCACCCTGTTTGGTAACATAAACTACTAGAGACTTTGGAAGACAAAGTTAATTGTCACTGTGTCTTCTAAATTACAACAGCGTGGAAAAAGTGTATTAGGCTTTGCGAAAATATAAAAATTTACTAGCAAGGTCAAATTTATAAATGGGAGTTGCTTGTGGACCTTATAGTGTCTCACTCTGTTTGGTAACATAAACTACTAGAGACTTTAACCAGCTAGCATTTATGGCGTAAGTCAAAAACAATGAAATGACTAAGTGAATTGTAAGTTAGTCCAAAAGCTACATAGACAGAATACGCGCAAGTTGGTTCAGATCTAATATCGACGTTACAAGCGTAATGGCGAGAATAACATATTGTCACAGATAAACTGCTATCATAAGATTCAACTAGCAATGAGGCCTTCAGGAAGCGAAATACGCTCTCATTTTACAGTCTAAAACGTTCCTTTAACTACTATCTCTCCTTTTACCTCATTTTGATTACGCACGATCTTAAAATTTGTCTTGGCAGGAAACCGGAAAGCGAGAAAGATGATAAAGATAATTAACATAAAATAACTGGTTAGTAAAACGAAATAAATCCTTATAACCTGAAGCCTAAAAGTATTCAGAAACTGATCAGAAAATGTTAAATTATGTAGCATCATAAAGTGTAGAAAAAAGTAATAATAATATTAAAATCCTATCAAAGCCCTAACTGTACAGAACATGATATTTAATGAATAAGGGTAACTCACAAAACGTTACAAAAACTCCCCTCTGAGCGCAATGTAAAATCTGAAAGCTTTCAGATTTTTTTTCTTTTTTTCTTTTCTTTTTTTTTTTTTTTTTTTTTTTGATAAATTTATGTAAAACATTAGTTGCAAAAAAGTACAAATATTTACAAAACAAAATTGGCATTTCCCAAAATCCTTTTCAACATACACCTCTGTTCTGCCAGAAGAAACACCATATCAGGTTTTAAAGTAAATAAAATGTGCTGCATTCAATTCTTAGATTTATACGGATATTGAATCTCGTAAGTTCGATGTCCGTTATGGATATCAATCCCCTTGATAATTTTTTATTTGCATTAAAGGAAGTACAAGTAAAATGCCGTCCGACCGGAATAGTGGTTAGCGTGGCTGACTGGCGTGCCGAAGTGCCCGGGTTCAAATCCTGGAGAAGGCATGGATGTTTGTAAATGTATAGTGTCGGTGCGGCATGGCGGCACTCTAAATATGCTGCGAGCCGAAAGTCCTCTCGTGTGGTTTGGTGGAAGGGAAGAGGTGTGAGGGATTATCGGGCCTGTCTGCCCGGAGTGCTCTCAATGAAAATTGGGGGGGGGCGGAACAGAGCGAAATCGCACTGTCACCTGTTAGGTGCTCAAGGCTGTTGCCAACGGCAGGCATAATCATGCGCTCCTGACCCTGAGGAATACCGTGGGCTTGGGATGACTAAGTGAGCGTAAACAAACAAAAGTAAAATATTTCTTCTTCTTTAATCCAAAGCACAATAAGGTAAAAGTATAGTTTAGGGTACCCCTTGGTAACACTTGGCGATTTTTGGCGGTACATGGATACCGATTTTGTGCAATTCTTTGATTCGTTATTTTGGCTTGCGAAGCGGCGATTTTTGCGCCAAAAGTCGCCGCTACACAAAGCCAAAATAACGAAACAAACAATTGCACAAATTCGGTATCCATGTACACATCGATTTATTTTCACTTAAAAAAAAATCCCCGAACTGCACAAAAATGGCATTGCGCACTCCTTTGACTTTATCCATGTACACGTCGACCTATTTTCACTTAAAAAAAAATTCCCGAATTGCACAAACTTGCATTGCGCATTCCCTTTACTTTGTCCATGTAAACATCGATATATTTTCACTTAAAAAGTTAAAGCAGTACCAAATTCTACAATATAGGCAAACAAAAAATACATAATCTCAATAAAATACATTTTAAACCAAACAATAAAATAACATAAAAAAAGGAAAAACATGTTATACATTTAAGCACTACTAAAAGTAAATATTCACTTACCATGATTTTCGAGTTCGAGCCACGTAAAAATCAAAACATCAATCATACTCAAATGACTTTTTTTAAACCAAGTACTCTTTGTGATCGAACGCTTCACATACTGACCATCTGAACCTTTCTTCCTACAAACCCATTGAAATCCATCTAAACGGTTTTTACGTTCGACTAGACGCATATCCTTCCTACATACAGGACACTTATAATGGCTACTAATGAAACCTTCATTTACACACCAGTCAATTAAAGTTCTTTTCCCCTTTCGCTCCAAATAGTACAGAAACTTCAAATTAATCTTTCTACATTCGGCCATTCTACCGTCTAAAGAATCAAACCAACACACACCCCAAAAACGCTTACAAAACATCCCATGATTCGAAATTTCTCAGAATCATGCACCCGATTACGTCACAATAGGGCTTCCATAACATTCAACTACTCAGGCTACCATAAATGAAACAACAACTTTGCGATAAATAAAACAACAACTTCACCATAATACAAGGGGTACCTTAAAGTCTACTCTACTCCACAATAACTCAAAACGTAAGAATAAGGAAAGTATTACATACTGCATAAGGAAATGTTCCTTTAACAGCATTATGTCCACCAACTACTCTCGCCTTAATGGAACTTCTGTTGGCGCCACATTCGCAACGAGGTCCTGTTAAAAAGAAAAAAAAAAAAAAAAAAATATGCAGGCAGCATATGGCAACAGCAAGTTTTTGATACAAAATGTTATCGAGTCATCGAAGAAAATGCAGAATTAAAAACGTAAATATTTATATACTTACATTTTATGTTCATATTGCGCCTTCCAGTCGGTATAGTGGTTAGCGACCCGGAGAAGGCATAATTGTAACTGTCCGTCCCCTTCATAGGAAGCTATGGTAGCCACCTATTACGCTACCGTAATAGGTGGCTACTGTAGCTTATTCCATGATGAAATGGCCACCACTTGCGGCCCTTGTAGTGGTGCAAGGCTAATAGCTAACAATAAAGCGTTCGACTGTTAAGAAAAATGTTCATACTGCGGCTGCCCAGACGTACGGTGGTTAGGGAAGCCGACTGCGATAGCGAAGGGCCCGAATTCAAATACCGGAGAAGACATGGATGTAAATTGTCTCTCTCCTTATAGGAGGTAATGGTACAGAACATGATATTAGGTGCCTCCATAATAAAATGACCACCACTTCAGTCTTTAGTTGTGGCGAAACTCTAAAAATTGCTAAAAAGTGCTCATATTACAAAGGGCATGTATAGTATGATATCCGTGAATATTCAGCATATTTACAAAGCTATAACTGGATACAGCCATTTAGACATCGTTCGATCTATCAAATAAAAATGATTTTTGTCAATGTGTTCATCCACAAAATCTCCATGCACTTTATATGTTGGTTTTGTATGTATTAATTTTTTTTTCATGTAAAGAATTCTTTACAAATTTCAAATAATTCCCTAATAATAAATGGAATTCTCGCAGAAACTGCAAATAATTGTGTTTACTTCCACGCCTATCGAATTAATTTCCACCTTTTCGTTGCCCTGCTTTGGCAACACGCTTTTGAGATTTGTCTTTCGTAGAATTCGGTCGCTAAAAGCGTAGCTGACCTGTAACGGTTGTAATTCTTATTCTAAAGCTTATCTGTATTGCTGAATTATTACTAAATGTTTACGTATGAATGTTTCATTATTAAATGTATTCAGTTTGGTTTGAATAGGACGAGAGTGCTTGAATTTATTAAAGATATTTAAAATCGAAACTACATCATCCATTTCGGCGCTATTCTAACATAGGAACGTAAACAAATTGTGATCAAGTAAACACGATACCATATAAGATATCTGATCTAAAGATTGAGAAAATAGCATTTATACAGCAAAAATAGCGTTCTAGATCTCAACGATCGTCCAGATTCAGAACAGTTAAATATACAATGCGTCCTATAAATTTAGAAACTTTTTAAAAATCATTTACAAGTTAATGAACTGATCTATCAGAATTCGGCTTATACTTGAAGGCGTATTCTACCCAAAGATTCAATTTTGGGATTGAAAAAGATGGTACATTTTAATTCAAATTTTTCATTTGTAGATGGACCTGTTGTATCATGCTATGAAAACAAAATCAGAAAAATTAAATTTTCACAGCATCTATATCTGTGCATTCGTGACTATATGACATTATTATCAATATTGTAGCAGTTCTTCATGTACTCTCAGTTTCACATCTCGCTTCAAAAGATTTAAATTTACTTTTTGCAAGAGTATACGTGAGAGCGTCGGCTTTTTTCTGCTCCTGAAGAAGAAGGGCCTTGTCATATCGCCCTCAAAACTAATGAACTCAATGAAATGATGAGCGTATAAACATTTAGAGGCTAATTATAATTGTAACAGAAATGCCTATGATTTCTTTTTTTTTTAATCTATGCAAATTTTAGAAGTTTACCAAATTTCAAACATAATGAAAATCTTAAACATTTAGCAAATTAACTTTTCCATTTAAGCCTGTCTTGTGTTGATGTTACGTTTGGTTATTTCGGGTGGTAGGAAGGATAACTTATCAAATCTTATTATTTACCTATTTACTAGCGTATTTTGCTTTGTTTTGTTAATTTCAATGAAAGGAGAAATTGGCGGGAGGGCGGGAGATTTATGTTAGCAATTTTATTCCGTAGCACGCGGCTAGAGTAAGAACATAACAAATGAAAAGTATTCGTGAATAACTAACGGTAACTACCAGAATATTGTTTATTTTTAGAAACCCAAAATTTCAATAAGAATACTTAGTAATATTAACATTAGCAGTATTAAATAAAATATCTTCATTTTTGCTTTCTGTATCTTGAATCTCACAATTTGTTGTTCTTTTCCACTGCTATTCCCCAGACGGCAAATACTTTGTTATTGCTGGAATTGCTATCTTTGCAATCTGCTACAGTTTGCATACCATCGCAAACTTTTTTCACCTTACACTAAAAGGCTGAGGAAATGTGCGAGAAAATAAGATATATATTAAATTGATCCCCGTCATTCATCCCTTTTTGAACTTGAATTGTTATATATTTGAACTTGAATTGTTCGTTAATTGCACCCAATTTCACATCCTGGCTAATGGGCTAGCTGCATGGATGTTTGTGTGGTTTTTTTCCTGTGCAACGAGAATATGAACTAGTTTTTGTCAGAAAGTCCTCTACAAAAGCACCTCTTCTTTCACACAGGTAGCTCTCGTGTGCTTTACCGAAATTCAATAAATCCAAATCCTTTGCTTGACATTTCGAAACATATAAAAATTCATTTTTAAACACTATAAAATGTTGGGAAACATTGTCCTTTTCTCTTCTTCCGCCACACATCTTGTAATTCTGCTGGATTAAAAACTAGCTTATTCGGATTCTTTTGTTTTCCTTGCAATTAATATTTCCCTCAAAATACTAAATTTGGCTCATAAACAGTTTGCTCGAATTAATAAAGATTTAAAATTTAGAATTAACAAATATAAATCATAAATCGAAAATGAAAATTAAAAGCTATTCCAATTCTAATCACCGTTTCTATTTCTTTAAATCTTCATTTCGTTTAATCATTCAAAAGTTTCAGCTGGTAATTTAAGGTTCTTTGAAGCCTTCCATCTATCAAGGTTTGTCAATTTTAGTTTCTGATTCTAGCTCTAGTTCTCAGCATCCAGGACGTTTTATATAATTTACAAACGCTGTTAGCGTTCATTCTTCCTTTTCTATGAAGTTATTTAACGATTAAAACATTTAAAAGTTACGAATGAATGTGCTTAAGAAGAACAATTTGCTGTTACACAAGACAGGCATGTGGAATGTTTCCTTAAAAGGCAATGATGTGCTTCCTTTCACCGATGCTGATGTTAAAGAAAGAATGCTTTTCGATCTTTATCAAACTATTATTCACTTGTGTTCAAAAATTAAAGAAGAAAAGGAAAAATTAGCGTAAAAGCAAACAAGCAGCTGAATGGATCGGAAAATCAATCAGGAGGTAAATGGGACTCGTTACAGTAGGATATATACATATAATGACACATAACCTAAGAGTGTGGAAAAGGTATGACACGTATAGGTGGCACACGTTAAGCAGTCCAGTGAAAGTCATTCCTTGGAGTAAAATGATTTCAACGACTTCGAGTTGCGACTACCGCGTGATATAGCCAATAGGCAATCCAGGAAACATTATCTGGATGATTTTACTTGAGGTCATGTCACTAGGAAGTTGGAAGAAGATCTAAATGTGACAAGTGTCTGGGAAGAGTACGGGATCGCTCACAGCATTTCAAATGGTAGGAACAGCTGTTCGAGCATTCAGCCGTGGTCGCTCACGAGCAATAACGGCTGTGAACGATCCATATATTATCCTACTGGTAAGAAGAGACAGGCAACAGATAGCGGAAGATACCACAAGGCATAGGCAACAAATTACTGAACATCCGATATGACGTTTTACCGTCTTCAGGAGACTGCACAAACATGGCCTTATACACATCTAGACACAGAAGACAACATGCGGTCACCCCTCCAACATCATTGAAAGTAACCAATTTGGAAGTGTCGGAGTTCTCGTTCGGGGCGGTATCATGCACAGTAGTCGTAGTCCCACTTCTCCGAAGAAGGTTCAGCCATTGGTGTCAGCTATTGCATCGAGGCTGTCTTGCTTTGCGTGCGTCTTCTTAGAGGTGTTGTGGATCTGGACTGCTTCATCACGGATGGCAACGATACAACTCATCATAAAATAGCTGTCGCACAACTCTTGGATAGTGAAGATATTCAACGCATGCATTGGTCTGCAAGCTCCCTGGACTACATATAATACGTGTGGGACCTTCTCGGGAGACACCTGGCAGCAACGCATCCTTATCTGGAATTGGCGCTACAGGAGAAATGAGGATTGATGCCTCAACAGTTCTTTGACAACATTCTTCTTAGCATTGAACCAGCCATGCAATTCTGCATCGCAGTCAGGCGTGATCATATCCCCTTCTAAAGAATATAGTTTTCTTGCAAGGCACCTGTCCTATGGACGTTTCTGTCTTCTTTCCAGTTGTTCTCTGAACTACTAAAGTGCCTTTTTTTTCCTTTTATCCTTTTTATTCCTTGTCTTTTTATCATTTTTATTCCTTGTCTGGAGGGTTGTATTCACTTGTCCCATATTTTCCCATCGTAGGGATCTTATAGTATGATTTGAGTTGATGTGGAATACTTTACACATTATATTCGAAAACTATCTCGTCCTTAAATTTTTCAAACAAGAGTATTAGACACGTGGAACAGCTTTCACGATTTTATTGTAAAACCGTTTATAAAACTTGATTCTTGCTATATGAAGTGGTAGCAGGGAATTACGGGATTTTCCAGCGCTTTGCTCGGTATAAGGCACTGATATAGACTATGTGCTTTAGTTCTAAGTGATAAGACAGAGTGGAAACAGTAAATCTAAGAAGAGCATGTCAGACATTGTCTTTTGTGAGAGTGCGATCTGGTACACAAGGCAACAGAATTACATCAAAGGGTTATAGGGCATACAATTCATAACATAATAAAGCGACACACCAAAAAGGGGATAAAAATCGAAACTTCGCGGTGGATTACAAAAGTTCTTCGACACTAGAGAACAGAGAAGAAGGATGGAAAAAGACAGGTGACGGAAGACGATGGTAACTGAAGTCAAACAGGGGTAAGAAGATATTTATCTCACGTCTTCCACTGTTTGGAGATACCATCCCTTCCCGTAAGGTCCCTAAGCACGCTGTATCGGGAACATTCTATAAAATGCAGATTTATACATAGGTATGGAGTTAGCAGAGATTCTTCTCATATATAATAGTTTTTTGTTTTTGCAGAGTAATGGAAAAAAGATGAAACATGTATGCTACAACATAATGATATTTATTCAGTAATCGTAATAAATTTCTCACACACCAGTACAGTACTCGAAATGAGCTTTCGTCGGGTTCAATAAAAATTATTACTCACTTGGATCTGAATCTTCCAACGAATTTATCTGCAAAAAACAAAAAAAAAAAAAAAAGAATTACTTATTTTTTTCTGTTTATATGGCTTTAATAAACAGCATTTAATAATTAGTTCAAATGGAAACTTAAGTTAGTCTACGTTTAAGCATTTTTATTCTTTCTAGAAAACCTCAATTTCCCAAATCAAGCATTTATTAATATTTGATCCGAGCTTTCAATATTATTTAATTTTTAAACGAGTATTATTTTCATTTAGTGCAAGAGTGGAAATCGTTTTACTTTAGACGGTCGGTAGCATTTTATGAAAATATTGTGAATGTATAAGGTAATATTGTATGACTGGTATAAGTGCCTTAAATGTGAGGATACGCGCAGAGATTTACGATGCTTACCAACATAGTCAAGTTGCCTGCACGGCCCTCTATTTTTGTCAAATCTTTGGGATTTCATTGAAGTTAATCCTTTCAGTAACTGAAAGAAAGAGAAGAAAATTGTACTATCTTGTACAAAGGCTGTTCGAAATATCCCAATCACCTGTTGAACGGATAGAGAGAACAGTTAATTTCAGGAAAGACAAATATTGTTATTCCTATCAATTACTGAAAAAAAGTGAAGGAAACGTGCATTACAAAGGTTCTTCGAATTATCCAAGAGGCTTGTTGAACGGATAGAGAAAAGCAGTTTTTGTCAGGAAAGATAAACATAAAAAGCCTTCTTCCTTTCGTGAACCAGTGACAGACACAAATAGCACTAAATTCCGCGTTGGTGCACTTTTCTAACCTAGCAAACTGTAGTATTTGTGTTTTGTAATTTAGACGTAATCCAGATTTATTTTTAATAACGCAGCCATACTATCAATGAAAATCTTTCATACGTTTGTTAATTAAATAAACAAATCTTTGACCTTATGTTTAGTTTTTGCTAAAAATAACATTAATTAAAATTTTTTAAATTAATATTAAAAAAGGTTTTTGCTTTTTGAACCTTAGAGCACTTTTGTTGTTCTAAGGCTGCGCTTCTAAAATTGCGTACCCAAATAATGCCCTTATGGACCTCTTAGATTTGCAAAAATGCCCTATTGTTTGTATGCAAAGTTAATAAGATTTTACATTGTTTCTTCCTGGCCGGCATATGGCTAAGTATATGGCACATCTTTAAATGTCTTCTCAAAAGTAAATAAATTAGACATATGAATATAAGATAATTCTTGGACTCTTCTCAATACCCTTAAGAAATTAAAGGGGTTTGAGAGGAAATTTTGTTTGTCGATTAGTTGTGTAAAACAAAGAAAGTTTTCATTGTTTGCAACTTTAGAATCTTTTAGTAAACAATTATAAGCTTATTGGAAAAGAATTAGGTAGTGGCATAATTCTTTCCATAATGTAACGTAATTCAGATGTAATTCGCCAAATTCAGACACAGTCCTTAGAGTTCGCATCCCGAAACTCTAAGGTGAGGATTTGAAACTTATTTTTCAAGTTTTAAATACTACAATTTTTGTAAGTTCTTAATCCTTTCCATTGCTATTATGAAAATAACAAACTACCATTCAGTGAAAGAGAATAGTTAGTAGAACTTTCTGATGACATCGGACTTAAAACCAAATTCCAAGCAGAAGGTACGATTAATTTCTGCCCTCACCAGTTTCTAGCTTTACTGGTGAAAACAAAATATAGTAAACTGTACATTGAAGATTTAAAAATTATAATTCTATTTGCCTCTACATATCTGTGAAAGAAAGAGTTCCATTACTAATTCAAGATAAAAGGGAGGGAAGAGGAATCCAAATCGACTTACTTACGTACCTGTTTCAGATTTAAGCTTCCAGCATACATCCAGGTTCAGAACAGCTGTGCAAGAATGGGAAGGCTCCTCGGTTTTGTCCCATTTCAAAATTTCCCAGATGAGGCCTTTTTAAAATGTCGTACCAATTCAGCCTCTCCGGATGGGATGGGTAAAAACGATTCCCATTTCAGCCTTTTCTGTCAAAGGCAAAGCAAAATCCGAAAGCGATTTTGAGGTCAGGTAACTGTGCTGTATGTATAAAGTGATGTCGCAATAGCCCTTTAAACTTTAGACACTGCTTAAATAAACATTAGTGATATTGGTGTTTATATTTAACACAGAAAAAAGCTGTTTTTAAATTTCGAGTATGATATACGATATATATATAATTCGAGTATGATTACTGTTTTTTGAAACACAATTCTAAATCCTGAAAACTGAATACGTCTGAGGATTTGGCTAGCATTAAATCTGTCTCAAAAATACCATTTGCTAAAGAATCATGAAAATTTTCAGTGGTACTATTGTCAGAGTTTTTAACAAAATAGATTTATTTTTTCATAGATTTTAAACGTGGTTCTTTCATTATAGAAACAAAGGCTAAACAGTACATAGAGGAATAGATCTTTTACCATTATGTGCATAATAGAATCATTGTATGGTATTCAAAGAAAAATGTAGCTTTCTTACCGATTGAAATACACTGACGAGCCAGAACATTATGACTATCTACTCAATAACGCGTTGCTTGACATTTGATCTGGAAAACAGCTGCCACTCGCCTTGACATGATGCCGCCCCAAGTTCTTGGTAGATGACTGGAGACAGGTTGTACCAAAGTCAAAGCAGGGGCCTCGTAATGTCGAGATATTCCGACATGGTGGTGTATAAGCTTTGAGATGCCACTCCATGACATCCCAAATGTGCTCTATCGAGTTACGATCCGGCTAGGTAGGTTGACCAGTACATTAATTGGCATTCATCCATATGCTCCTTGAATCACTCCAACACAGTTCGAGCCTTGTGAGATGGGGCGTTGTCCTGCTGAAAGATTCCATTCTCAGTTGGGATGACAGACGCCATAAAGAGTGCAACTGATCCGCAGTCATGCTTAGATAGTCCTAAGCTTTCATTGTCTGCTCTTCCACACAAATGTCTCGACGTTGCCCATAAGAATGTTCCCCAGACCACCACCAGCAACCTGTGTATGACCTGCTGTACAGGGAGAGCAACTGTTCGCCTGGAAGGCGACGAACCCTGGCACGACCATCGACGTAATGAGAAATAGTAATTCATCCAACTAGGCAACTCTCTTTCACTTATCTATGGTCTAGTTTCGATGTTCCCGGGTGCACTGTAGGCACTGTAAATTTGCTGTACCAAGCAGGACACTCTCAGACATCCTTTTCCTTTGATGATGATCGAACGTCGAACACTTTGTCGTCTACTGATGGTTTTACCGTCATTTATTCACTTTGCATAAATACTAACAAGGAAAAATCGCGAACAACCTACCAGTTTCGCAGATACTCATTCTGAGTCTTCGGGCCATTACAATTTGCTGTCTATCAAATTCGCTTAGATCAGCAGCCTTTCTCATCATTCGCAAGCAAGTCCAAGAATGAATTCTTACCTTCGCCCGTAGCCGTTAAATACAATTCCCACTTAATCACGAGCCTTTCACATCATCCAGGCGAGTTCATTGAATAATGTGTGATGATCATAATGCTTTAGATCGTCAGTGTTAAGTGTTCTTTGTGTAGTTTAATATTCCCACCAGCTGTAATGAAAAGTTAAAAACTAATGGCTGAAATGGTGCGATTTTTGATGAACTCATCCAGGATACCTGCACAAAGGGGGGAAACCTGAAATGGCGCAATATTTGTTGCATCTTTAGAAAGCCTGAAAAGGGAAAGCCTGAAATGGGATATCATAGTCTCACCCGTCGCTTAATATGAGTGCAAACATTTATTAATTTTTTGATGAACTCATCCAGGATACCTGCACAACGGGGGAACCCTGAAATGGCGCGATATTTGTTGCATCTTTAGACAGCCTGAAATGGGATGTCATAGTCTCACCTGTCGCTTAATATGAGTGCAAACATTTATTAATATTTTTAGTCAACATGTTAAAGTTTATTCAAGCTATAATAGCCATAAATTATTAAAAATGAACCCGGATTTACATCTATTTACTTAATTTCTTAACATCGATAAAAATTAATTTAATTACTTGTATTTGAAAAATATACGTATGCTGGTAGTAACATATGCTAAAAAATTGCTTTAGAACGGGATAAGAATAAGGCGATCTGCAAACCATTTCAGTTTATGAATGTTGTTCTCCTCTCAAAAACATTTTAGAACGGCTACTTAAGATACAAAATCAGTTTAATTACTTTATAAATCAAGAAAAATTCGATTTTAATCGAAGCTCTTCAAATCGCTTCGCATTTTTTACTAAATATTGCGTTCATTTATCAAACTTTTATTGGTATACATTTATTTTCTTTCTTGTTCAATTAATTCTAAATTAAAAATTAAATGGTTATCAAAGGAGTGGTATATAGAACATAAATAAATAATAAAAATGAAATTTTGAACAAAGAAAATATAATATATTGCAACAAAGCGCCTTTTATTGCGATTTATTATATTAATTATGCAAAACTTTTATTTCAAAAGGCGTATATTGTTTTAAATCTCTCATTTTGCTATTTTGTCATTTACTGTTATAATTTGGAAGATAAATTTTAAATTACCGCTTGGAATGGCAACAGGTCACAGGACTGGCAATTTGCTATGACACTGGGATGTTTAAATTAGCAGTTTCATTTAGGCCTGTGATATTCCAACTGTGTTTCACATAAGTTTCCGTGAGTCAAAATAAAAAGTCAAAAAGAAAATTGCAACGCACTCACATTAGTTAACTAATTAACTTAAACTAAATTATATGAGGATACATTTAGTCATAGATTTGCTTTAAAACTTAATGTAGTTGTAGGGATTTATATTTATTTTTACTAATAATTTAAATTTTAGTTCAGACTTTCCTATAAGCCTTCATTCCTTTAATTGTTTTGCAAGAATAGGGACGTGGGGGGGGCGAAAGACGATTGATGGGAGACACGCCAAAGTTCTGGCCGTATATAAAGCACTTCGTATTTGTACTTCTGAATGAAAATTGTTTTAGGTCGCCCTTTTGGCGAGAAGAAAGAGTCAGTATAATTTTTCTCTCATTTTATTCTCTAGTATGCTAAAAGTATGTGATTGTAAAATGTGAAAATACCTATTGTGCTAAGGTAAAGTAACTGCAAATGCATATTAAATTCTAAAGGAATTAGAATAATTATGTAGTGTGAAAAGCTAATGAAAGAAAATCGTGAAATTTTAGTCAAGTTAAATCATACGTTTCTGAGCGAAAGCTTGCATGTTTCAAGAGCCAGAAGAAGACTAAGCTAAAATTAAGCATGAAGGTGGACGAATACTTGTGTCCCTTAAAAAAACGCAATGTTCGGTAAACTCAAGAAAATTACAAAAGAGTTAGAAACTCGGGAAAAAGTCCAATGCTTGTAAACGTAAAGTGTTCTTTATTGTATGTTTAGAAACATGTATTCATAGTTATTCCTTCTAGGACAGGTTTCAGTACCGTAATGAACAAGAACTATGGATTCCACAATGTAAA